AAAAAATGGAACCAGCCACTTATTCTGGCAACCCATCTGTTAACTATCATATTTCCTCTCATAACAAACAACCTGATATTTGCCAAGAGAAATTACATGAAGAACACGAACAAAAGAAACTATCAAGAAATGATAATGTTGTTACGATAGGAAATATTGGAATTATTAGCAAACAACTCCAACAACAAGAAGATTCTACTTTATGCGCAGAAGAGAAGAATTGTATGAAGAACACTTTATGGAGACGTATGGGTCCATCAGTTGGTCGTGTTGGGAAAGGAAACAATCTTGTCTCTCCAAAAACTTTAAAATGGTAAGTTTTAAGAGTTTAAAGGAAGAAGGGAAAAGAAAGAAATTTTTTTTTTCTCTCCACTACTATGGATATAAATACTCTTTTTTTTTAAGGAGGCGTATGAGTCATCTGTGACCAACCTTATTTTAGCCTTTCACCCCAAAAAAATTTAAGGGGTTGTGAAGAATAATGTGAGGCGAAGCACACGGAGATAAATTCGAAAAAATAAATTCAATCTTGTCTTGATATGTTTGTATGGTGCCACCATATATATATCTATCAAGAAAATCTTACCACACTCACTTCGTCACGTGATGACCTGTTTACTGAGGACATCGGACATCTATTTGTCACTGCATTATATGTCACCTGTACTACCCCGTTTAAAGTACTATTTCTATTGTGACAGGTAGTGTGGTAAGATTCCCCAAAGACCAGTCGTACAATATTAGATAATCAGATGAAATTGCCTTTTTTTTGAATTTGAGCCACATCAATTAGACTATTTTTTTTTTTGAATATTTCAATATTTCTCTTTATTAATTTTTGTCATTTTCTTCTATTACTTCTATTAGTTCTGTCTATCAAAAAAAAGATATAGATTCTGAGAAAAATCCTAAGATCAACCCATCATATATCAACCGTATAGTTCATAAACGTAGAAAACTTCGACAAATAAGACATGTCGATAATAATTCATTTTTAAACCATATTAGACGTCTACCGAGACAGAATACGACCGATCCATATGAAGTCCAATTTTTTCATGGTTCCAATTTCTACTGAAAGTGATTACGTTCGCTTTCGTTACTTCGTTTATTCAAATAATTTCGAAATCGTTATTTCTAATTTATGAATTTCATTATATGACAAAATCGAATTTTATGACGAAATATTTCATTGACAATCTCGGAGTTAATGAATTTACCGATTTTCCATTTTTAAAAATTAGTCGTACAACATAATAATGTATAAATAAATAATATGAATTTTTATTATGTTATTAATTAAGCAAGCAAATCTCAACATCATTTTTTATTCGGTTTATATACATTTCGGTTTTTTTTTTTTAAAGTACTATTTTTAACGTAGCTTTATATTTTTTTTTTTTTAATTTCCGTTATTATATTTTGCATACACTTATTTTATATAAGAAAATAAATTATTTTTTTTTATTTATTTTTTTTTATTTTGAAAATTTAAGTACGGTAATTTACTTATTATAATTAAAAAAAAAAAAATTGTTACTAATTTTTATAAATTTTTTTTTTTTTTTTTTTNNTATAAAATTTATTTTTTTCATAAAAATTTTTTATGTTCAAGTATTATATATATATATTTTGGATTTTTCAATAAAATAATAGACTTGTTCAATAATAGAAAATCATTCGTGAGCGATCCTTTGCCTTTTTTAATTCTAAAAAAGTAAATGTGTTACCAATTGATGATCATACGTAAAACTAGGGGAGGGATGTTCTAGATAAAATGGCGGATTTTTAATCGGCTAATAGAATGTTTAATGGGGTTCCCTTGTTTTAGTTATGACTTATGAACTGTGTTTATTATTCACTCTTATTCACTCACTCGTTATTATCTCCCCAAGTATCTCCTCCTCGTATCTCCCAAATATCTCCTCTCAAAAAAAAATTTCTTTCACTAATTGGATACACCTAGAATTTTCTAATAAATATTTTTTGACCAACAGAATCAAATAGACATTAATTTCAATTAAATAATGATCTACCTTTTTGTTAGCAACTTTTTCGGTCGAAGATTTTAAAAAAACTAAATAATATTAAATAATATAAATAATATAAAATAAAAATAAAATAAAATATGAGAAAGAAAAACAATTGTTTCTCGTACTTTGATTAAAGGTTTTTTTGTACTAGTATGTACTAGTGTTGATGCAAAAAAGTAATGACCGTTTATTAAATGTTGAAAGATGATGATGACTCGGAGTTGACTCGGTGAAAATCCACCACATGATACACCTGTCAAAACACAAAACACAACTATTGATTTACCTGATTTACCTGTTAAAAATTTATTTTATGGTTTAAATATTTATACAGCTTACTTTTAATATTCTTTTTTATATACTATTTAGTAAATATAATGTATTTAACAAAAAAAAAAAAAAATCCATTTCTTTTAAAAGTATGATTACTATAGGCATACTTCACATTTTTTCCTTTAATTTTTTACAAAGGAAAGATATATATATACATATATACCACTATATAGTAGTACTATATACTAGTAAATAGTAATGCATATCAAAGCGGCTAGTAATAGAATATTCCCAATCGCTGCGGATTTCATTTATAGAATCATCGATTATAATAGTGATGATCACTTATATTAAATTCATTGCCACATGAAGATCATTTTTTATTTTGTTAATATAAATTATAATTATATTACACATTCACTGCACCATTAAAATCACATAATGTGCACGTTATTTAAAAAATCAAGCAGATCACTTTATTGTATTTTTTCATAAAATAAACTTATACAATAATTTAGTGCTGTTGCTGAGACTACTTCTATCGTTGACAGGTACAATAACTACCCTTGTATGCTCATCCATATTTATGTGAAAGAACCACATTTGTCTCATCTATATTATTCCGCTCATTTCCATTCTTACATGTGCTCAAAGTCATAAGAACAACTAGCCTTGTTAGGTTCACTCCAAAATCTGAGCTTTTTTTCTCCTGTCATGAAATGAACCCTGATTTCTTTGATGTCATGCCTTAATTTTGCTACTTCAGCTTTAAACTCTGCAGTCAGCATTCTCATCATCATGCCCGGCATTTACTTCAACAATTTCGCATTCTCGACCCCAGGCTCAGTAATACGTTACCTATTTCATATTGCATGACTTAATAATAAATACAGAATTTATTCTCGTGCCCATTTTCTTTACATCTTCCTTTAGGTAATTGGGTTGTTACATTTGTAACATCAATCATAAAATTTTTTATTAATAAAAAGTTCGGTCAGAATCATCTTTCAAAGGCGACTCAGTAAATCAGATGTTTGCTAATTAAGAAAGCGACAGTAGTACATGTGGTGAAATGTTTGAGACGACCCGTCCTGAAAAAATTTTGTCTACCCATCCATCGTGATTTTTTCATAAATATATCATCCAACTTATGCTTTCTTTTCTTATTTTTTATATTTTGATTCATCCTAATGCACTTTCTTACTGGACCAGGTTCTGAACAAATTCCATAGCCAATTGATGTTAATTTTTTTAATAAAGAATACCATTTAATAGATATAGTTTCATAATTCACATCATTATTTGCAAATTCTTTCTAAGAGGCTAAAAAATCTATTTAACGCTATTACAAATTGGTTAAAGGCTTCTAATGCTTCAGGTGTCCTTTTGCTGATGTAAATAAGCCCTTAAGAGCCTTGATTACGTCCAATGTTTCTTCACCAACAACATATAAAAGCTGAAAATTAAGGAGAATTTCATATGGATAATGGTATAGAGTGATTGCATGCAATCATCCATTAAAATGGAGCTGAGATTTTTCACCGGTTTGTCGAACAACATTCTATGATGTTTTCCCGATCGCCTTGCAGCTTTGGTCTAGATACTTTCTAGGATAAGAAAATCATTTTTATCGATTGATTGTTGTTTGTTGTTGGTCGCTGGTATGTCTGCATAGTCTATACAATGAAGTAAGTTCTTCATCTAGGATATTCATTGTGTAATTGAATTTTTCGGTTCGTAAGTAACATTCATCTTCGATATTACGTGATCCTGATAAAGGCACACATTTATTATGATCATCACGGTCAATGTGAGATGTAGAGATTCCATCAACATATTTTCTAATAATTTGCCCTGAGAGTTTAGTTTGCCAAATTCTTTTTCGTTTGGCTCCCAAAAACATTCTGGTATGCTAGCTAAAGTCGTAAAAGTGCATTTTCAACGATTGGCATTCTGAAATATTCTTTAAACCCAGTGTCCCAGTGTGATATCAAACTGACGCCTGAATACCCTAACATGTGGAAACTCAATCTCAACGGTAACCTTGAATTCCATGAAAGATTCTGATGCAACATCAATATCAGAATTGTACAAATTATGAGAATCATCAGGATCAAAAGTTAGTTAAACGTTCAGTTGATTTACTGAAAAGCAAACAAGAAATCCATACCCTAAGATTTGCTATGTATTTGAAGGTTTTCACAGATTTTGGTAATATCATATCACATTATCTGGTTTTTTTTTTGAACTTGATCAGCCATACAGGATAATATGTAACCACTAATGGATTAGTCTAATTGTTTTCATGATGTGGTTACGTAATACATTTTGATCCGCTAATATAAATTAAAAAGTTTGATTTATTAATATTATTGTCAAATCATTGCCAAAAATCTACGTAGTATTGATAGCCTAATTAAACACACTTCACAGTTGGTCACCTCCAGCTTAATAAGACGTTTTTTTTCATAAAAGATGGTTCGAAAGAAAAATCTTTTGTGACTTCTTAAAAAATCACAGATACCATAAAAATTAAACGCTTCTTAAGCAGGTTTCTCTATCTCTATATTGTTTGAAATAAGTAACGAAAATAATACATACGTTATAAACTATTTTCTTGATAATGTTTCATAGTTGAAATTATTATTTTTTTTCCACCGAGATTGTTGTGAGATTGTTGTGGTTAAAATAAGTTCGGACAATTTTTGAGATAGCTGTATAGTTTAGGAAGGTTTCAAGTTCTTTGTGCACTTCACACTTCAAAAATACTGTGTAAAAAAGATTTGTTAAATAAAAAAAAAGAGAGAATTTAATAAAAAAATTTCCCATGGCTATTGTTTAGAACAATATTTTAGGGGTATTTGGGAGTAAAAGTTTACCTGTTATAATTATCACTTCCCCAAAGTGACTACTAATGGGAAATTTTTCTCGTGTATCTTATACTAATCTATTCGTGGTATAACTTAATATAACCTCTTACCCAGATTAGTCTTATTATAAATATGAACCCCAGCTTAGCCCGAGTCTTAATTAAAATTTATAAAAAAAAACCTTATTTTTTTTATTATTATTTTAGAATAAAATTTAGAAATAAAAAAATATTTAAAATAAAAATAAAAGTTCATTAAAAGATCTTAATTTATTTTAATATGAAACAAAATTCAAGTAACCCCAATTTATTTCTTATTACAGGAAAAAGGAAAAAAAAAATCTTTTCTCACTTTAGTTACATTTTTTTTTTAAATAGTGGCTTCGGAGTTGTAATTCCTTGACCATGTAATTCTTTCCTTTTTTCATCTCTCGAATGAAAAATTACAAATGTAACTGGTAACACACTAACACCATCAAAATAAATATTAGAAGTGAAACATCAAAGTTACCTCAATCGCGCGAAAAAACAATATTATAGGTAACAATATGAATTATAATATAGTCATATGGTATTTAATTTACAAAAATATCTCACTTTCATCAAAAAGAACAAAGAATAGCACGTTAAAAAAGATTTGTCATTATTGGGGAAATTGGGTCAGTTGCATACATCAGTGGTCATATGTTGCAGTTAGGCGTCTTAAAAGATATAATGCAATACTAATCGAAAATACTTGCATTATTATTTTCTCAAAGATACTCTTAAAAAAATAATATCTACAAAAAATTTAAAATCAAATCAAAGTTTCTAAAAGATTTTTTGGGAAGTTTTCTCGTGTTATTCTATTTAAAAGTGAATCGTCTATTTTTTAAATCAAAAAATATCCAATAACTCAAAAGTTTCAACTGAATTTTTATACTATTGGAAGTTGGAACATCACTTTCCTTTATTGTTAAAATCTGGGCTGTATAAAAATAATTGTTGTGATACAAATGCTTTTGTTATGCATGCATTTTTATTTTATTACTTGAATAAATTATTTTTTAAAATTTTTTACGGAATTGCATCCGAAATACGAAATACCGTGTATATAAAATAATAATAAAAAAAATCTTTGGTTAATCTAGGAACTTTATTTATGACTAGAAAAATTTCTTTTTATAAAGTCAATCGTTCAATTATACAAGTTACAAGATTCGGTATAGGAATTATACTTTTGTGAGAAATCCATTAAATTTAATGTGTGGCTGCTTTACGACCTTTTCCCGAAAATATAAAATAAAATTTGATCCGGTTTATTCACCGTTATGGATAATTACACTAAGACATTCCCGCTAATAATTACATCATGTATAATATAGGAAAATTAGGAACGGGGGATAAAAAGAATAAAAAAGGAAATTTAAAAGATCGAATCATATTTTGAGATTAATTCCGATTGTATAAGAACTTTTTCCGCTATTTTCATATTAGGAATTGATTATCTTTTTTTCTTGGTACGTTTCAAAATTATTATTGTTTAAAAATCTTTCAAATTGCTATTAATAATAAAATGATTTAATAATTATATAATATACGGGTGATCTTTGTATAAAAATAGTAATAATAAACATTTAGAAAAAATAAATATATTTATATTTTATACCCTCAGAATTTAATGATTCGGAAAAAAAAATTCGCTATAAAATACCCTTTTGACAATTTTATTTCTGATTTTTTTCTCTCTACTTATCCAAATCATATTTTCTACTATTTTCATTATAATAGTAGTTCTAAGTTAAAGGATTTTCTATATAAAATTATTTAGAGATCAACTTAAGCCCTTTATTTAATTTCTACTTTTCATAATGGATCACGATTTGACCAAACCTAATGAAATTAATAATGATAATACAAAAGCTATATCCTACACATTCGAAGAGCCCCTCTCTGTAGATAATACTACTTCGGCTCAATCTTACGTGTCACATTATTCTCGTATTATTCTCAAACGTAGAAATCAACGATTATTAAGAAAAAGAACATCTGCATTATTTCCGTTTAGAAGGTTACCTGTGCAAATTTCAAATAATCCATTCGTGCATCATATTTTTAACGGCTCACGTAATTTTAACTAAAGATGATTATAATATTCGATATTTTTAATATTCCCTTTCTCGTTTATTACGTAAATTCTTCAAATTAAGTATCACGCAAATCTGTTTATGTCAATCATTGGCAAATTCTAATTTTATCGACTTTAAATAAATAAGTAAAAATTGGAAGGTGTGACGCATTGTGATAAACATACATTACCCTATAAAATTAACTGAATTTAGTGTTGTATTACCAATCGTCATTAATGCACTTCATTTTTTCAATGAACTTTTTTTTTTTTACTTTACTCTTTTCAATTCTCTCCGTTTAAGATACGTTTCAAATTTTCTTCTTTTCTCTATTTGGTTTTTGGCGAAAAAAAAATAAAATAAAAAAAAAAAATAATAAATTTCCGCGATTTTTACTATTATTAATACAACTCATAACCTTTTTTGTACAAATTAATATGTTCGCAATAAGGAGTCATTCATTTATCACTAATTAGAAATTTCTATAGATGATGAAACAGGAAGAAAGGTTTTCATTTTTTGTGAGAGAGAAAGTATAAAGAGAAATAAATAAACGGCACACTTATTTTCATACGCATATTCTTTTCATATAAAAAGTCGGTTTTCACGTCCTTTACGTCCCATAATCTTCTTGTATCCTAAATTTTTTAGGAGAAAAGGCTATGACAAAGTTAGTTTCGCGCTTTTTTTTATTTTTAACTTAAAGTTCTTCCTTTTAAAAGTTTAAAATAGCATCAAAATCGGTCTAAATGAAACTGTGTTACGTTAAATTTTTTTCGCCGGTATGTGCTTGGCTTCATGCAACACGCAGATCTTATTATTGGGAATCTTTTTTTTTGTGAATATCAATAAACGTAAAATGAATGAGAGGATAAAATAAAGGGCGTGACATGTATGACAATTTTCTAAACACGCGCATTTAAGCATTTAAGATTACAAATTAAAAATTAAAAATGGATACTATATAATACTAAAATTATAATTTAATTTAAAAAAAAAAAAATAACAAAATTTTTGATTCAATTTTAAAGAAAATAAAAATAAATATTCTTTGATTAGTAAAAATTATATTGAGAGAATAAAAAAAACCAACAAATTGAGATACATTTAACAAGTGTTTTCGAAACAGACGATAAATGGGTAAACTGATAAGTGATGAAAGTCATTAGAGACAAAAAAGATTAAGATTTTATCGATGCAATAAATAGGTCGTACAGTATAAGAAAGTACATGTACAGTATATCGTGCAGCCGGTGCAGGTGATGCTAAACTGTTAATATTACAGATAGGCCAGACCGCCAGACCAATTAAAATGTTTGACATGTGAAGTTAAAAAGATGATTGCTTGAACAAAGATTTCATTCGATTTACGGTTTCGCTCGAGGAAATGAAAAATCTATATCTTTCTAGCATGTTCTATCACATAAGCCACAGATTATGGGGTAGTCTTACCACACCACCCTCGGTTACACAAATATTTGTTGGGGTGTGATGTCTGAGGTGTGTGACAAATAGAGATCAGGCTAGTAAAAAAAAACTAAGTCCCTCAGATAAATATAAAAAATGCGAACGCGGATATCACGTGATAATGTGACGCTAAATGTCACTGTGTAACCGAGGGTGGTGTGGTAAGATTTTCCAGATTATGGTTACACGAATTCTATCATTAATCAAATGCTATTTTTCGTGTCCGTAATATTTCAATAACGATTTTTTTCGTTCCTTAGACAAATCGTGTATAGCACGTGTATAGCATTTGTATTATAACAAAACTAACAAAACATTAAAATGTGCGAAGTGGCCTCAGCAGTTTCACTAAATAACCTGTATAACGTGTAGATTGCCCGAGTGTTTTAAGACGTTAATTGACAAAAAAACCGAATACAGAAGAAAAAAATAATAGTAGTTTCGTCATATGTAGAACTTAATAATCATACTTGGAGTATTTCAAGAAGAAAATAGTAATAGATGAAAATATATTGCACATAAAATAATACGAGTATGATATCTACAACAGAGAATATAAATATACTTTTGTTCTCAAAGAAAGGTTCTACAAAATGGTAATGAAAAACGAGGGGGATAGTAGTAAAAAAATATAGATGACGGGATGTGTGTAATATTTTTCATTTCTTTGTAACGTTTTTTGAGAGTGATCGAGAACGAGAAGCATATAATCGAAAGCGGGGGGATACAATCAAAATATAATTATTCGACCAAGAATAAGTTACGTGATTTGTGTGGATCTAAATTTTTGATGTGATGTATATGTAGATAACAGTAATAGTTATGTCATGTAACTCCTAGGAATCCTTGAAACGTTTTTTTTTTTGAAATTATGGAGAATGGGGAAAGTAATTAATAATTCGATCACAGATATCAATTGATTCCATATAGTATAGTTTTTTAGTAAGAATGCGGAAAATATATCACAATACCTGATTCTCATTCTAGTTTGGTATTATGGTAATAATTTATTATCAAACCATGTGATACTGCTTTGATCACTAGATCGAAGGAATAATGTGTATCTTGAGCGAAAGGGAACTTCAGACCAAAAACTTATCTTTACTTGATTCGGTACAACATGAGTTGACATTAGCGTGACAAAAATCTTGAGAACATGTCTCGGTCCAATGTAATACTACCAATAGAGAACCAAAACGACCAAAACAGATGTTTTGTTACGTTCCTGCTATTTAAATTGCTACGATGAAATATGATAGAAAACGGAAGACTGACTAGTGTCTCTAGATAAAAATATTTCGTACTAGTGAAAACAATCTAGATACAAAACGCATTTTATTTATCGGAACTATGTATCAGTTGCTGGAGACTGCACAAAGAGCAAATGTTACGCCAATTATACTGTCGTATCATATCTGATATTGTTATTGGTGTTGGAGATAAAAACGAGAAGAAAATCAGTAAGACCAGCGGTTTAATATTTTATTAAATGGTATTATTACTATGTTTTAAACAGCACGAATTTTTTGTAGATGACATTGTTGATGTAGGGGAGAACCATAATAGAAACGAAAATATAAAAGTATCTCCAAAATATATGGTAGACTTCTTCTGAAAAATACAAGATGGGTATGATAATAGACCAAAGAGTTGAAATTTTACGTTATCATATTTGTACTGTGCCAGGTTTCAAAGCCATCGAACGTTTAACAATTATTCTCATCCTGTCCTCAAATACAACTAATTATTAGTTCCAACAGTTTCAAACGTCAAGGTTAAGATACGGTTTAAAAAAAGCTGTCATTAGATAGGAATAGATTTCATGTTATCATGTTTGGACATTTTGGTCAAAATTAGTTTTTAGCACAGTAGAATAGATATCGTGGTACCCCTATCTCCTTCTGAACACGTTATTTCTAGGACCTCTCTATAATTTTCTTCGTTCCTCAGAAAATCGTGGAGATTTTTTTCTCGTATATATCTTTTCTGATAATCATCTACGTAATGGATTTTGTGTATGGGAGTTAAAAAAAAATGAATAAAAAAGTTACATTTTAATATTATACTATTCGATTCCAATCCCATTGTAGAATTAATTTAAAATGTACTTTAATCAAAATTTTTGTGCACTCAGCTGTGCCACTTTCGAAAAATCAATAAAAGATTAACTGATCGGGTTTCCATCAGTCTTTTCATGGTGTCGGTTTATCACGAGAATTAATATAACCGTTGTTTTGAATAATGACCTCAGACCTCAGCCCGGAATTTACTAAAGCTCTCCGTTACTCAGGCAAGGTTCTATCATGTTATCATGCCTATATTATTTCCACTAATTCTTTCTCTTTGTAGACTACTGGAATATAGAACTAGAAGAGTGGGAAGTGTAAGCGACTGGGATGTATATTTCATCAACCATACTCCTGGAGCTATAAAACATCAAGCAGTTGTCAGAAGGCAGTTGCCTTGCAAGACTTTAAAGGTTGGTTTTTTTATTTTTTTTTTTCTGTTCTAACTTGGAAGACCATCCCCGCGAATGAGAGGGCAAAATGCGTTTTTGCCTGAAGCGTGGCTAGATACTGTATCTACTGTGAAAAATATTGTAAATATAATTTGACATAATTATACTTACAGGATATTTTCTTTCAAAGTATTCTAAAAATGATCCTGCGAATATTGAGTTGTGGAAAAACTAGCTATTGAAAATCGGGTGAACAAGGTACATAATGCTTCTCATCACCATGCAAGACCCTGATGTAACACTTCTCTAACTGATTAGTGTGAGATGCTAACGGTTCGAATACGTGCATCAACCAATCCCTGTTTCCCAATGAAAAAGTAAGATAACATTTATGTTCGGGCTCTTTAGTGGAGAAAAAATCATCAAAAGATTAATCACCATTATTAATTCACACAATAATAGCTTCGGAATACCAAGTAGGTTTTCTTTACCATGTCGTTTTTTAATGTATATTTGACGACTGAATTCTGGCCAACCCACTTAAGGCATTATAATATTGGGCCGATAATGTAGGCCAGCGTCATATGACGAAAATTGACGTATAACATATATCCTATAACAAAAATGTCTTCTCACCTTTCAGTTACTTTTGATGAGAGTTCATTACGCAGTAATTCCAGTAGCCCAACACTCCATCTTTTGATTTTTCGGTATCAGAAGATTTCATCAGCGAAGGTCAGGAAGATGTCACACTTTGTTGACTATTTTGTATCATACATCAGCGTAACTTTTTATTATCTCTTAACAGTGGATCGTTAGTCAAGTGGACATTTTTTGTAATTTGTATGGAATACCGAGATTCTGTAATTCAGAAATGCAATTCAAAGGAGATCTTAAGTGCTAATGAAGAACTGTATGTATCATGTTTGTTACTAGATGGTTGAAGTATGACATATCAATACTTTTCTTCCCTCTATCACAGAGTCCTAATTTACATATTCCCCATCAAGAAGAAAATCAACAAGAGCTTCGAGATTATTTTGATGACGAATTGTGGCAAGATATGAAATTTACGCTCAATATCCGTTCCAGAACGTGTCTTCAATTTGTGCGGAGACGTTTTGAAGGTAATATATGAATTTAAAGTTTCCAATGAATGGCAGTTTAATTACTTGTGTATTATATTTTCAGATCGCATGCCAACAACAGGACTTCCGACAGCGTCGGACCGAGATTAAAAATTTTCTCAAAAATTACTTGACTGATGGAGTATTAGAAAGATAATGCATAATATTCTTTCTAGTTCGTATGTTTCATGAAAATTGCATATTATTATTGAAGCACTTATCCTAATGAGATATCATATGTATTCTAGTGCCAACAGCTATCAAAGCTTATTTTCCAGAAACAACAATATTGAGGATACACACTCTCACAATTATGTAGATCCTATAATTAAGTCATTTTTCCCGAAGGCAAAAATACAATTACAGGCTGGTATGAACTATATTTATATGAAAGTTAATATATAACATAAAAAATAAGCATAACTTGTTTGTTGATTCGTAAGGCAAGCAGGACGTCAGGATCATCTGCTCGAACGAAGAAACGATTCGATCCTAGCCTTGCTGGATCAAACACCGTTCTTACCCGAATTGATGTATGCAGAAATAAAACCACCAAAAGCACGTGCAGACCTGATAAACCAGGATCCGATAACTCTGAGAAAAACAATGAGAGCATCAAAAGATTGTTTGTTAGATCTTATTGTCTGCGGGCTACATGTCATTGGTAAGTGGGACCAGTATATTTTTTCAGGATATATTGGAAGATGTTATGTCATGGATCTGGAATTTATAGAATGGCATTAATTGGAGAATTCACGTTCCCGAAGGCCCAACAACTTGGGGAAACTCATGGATGTTTTTCAGGTGATGGCCACAGTGCAGGTAGGCAGACCTCAATCCCGAAAGTAATTACGATTAAATTATATCTTTATTTGTTATAGGCCACTAATAACAATATGGCTTATAGGATCTCGTGAACAAGGAGGCTAATCTTTTACCCAAGGTAGAGCTACTCAAAAAAATTCTCAAAAGCTGAAAATTAAAAATATGATGTTATCATTCTCCAATTAAAGTACCTGTACCTAGTGATTATTTTGATAATTTCCGATTTTAAAGTATCAACAGAAAAATATGTTTACGCACATCATGAATTATATAATTTGTTTTTAATAAAGCATTATCGATATTGATCATAATCATTCATATATAAACTGCATATCTGATATGAAAATAATATAAATCACATAAATTGATAGGTCTTAATAACGCTTCAATCACATAATATGGTATATTTTAACCTGTACGTACATTTAAGTGATACCAAAACAGTATCCCGATGTCTTCTGGATTGGGGATAAATTATTTTTTTTCTCAATTCGGAAAAGGGGAGGAAATATTTTTTTATTCCCCAATTCAGGAGACATCGAAACTGGGGAGAAATTATTTTCTTATTCCCAAATTCGGAGGTGAGGATAATAAAACGTGGTGTGTTGTATACATCTTTTCGGATAATCAATGGATTTTGTGCATGGGAGTTAAAAAATGAATAAAAAAGCGTGATTGAGCGGCAAAACGCTCAAGGTATTGCTTCGCAATGTGATCACATTAGTTCTAGTGTATGCGACAAGATTTATTGATAGTAATCTGTTGTGCATGATGAGCTTTATGTACTGTACATACTACTCCGTTTCCTTGAAAAATTCGAATATGTTGTCTCTTTTTGAAGGGAACAAGAAATGCTTTTATGACCTGGTCATATGTCATCATTGTTTTGACGTACTCGCAGGGTGCATAAAATTTTAAAAATACAATCATGCTTTTCTTATGTAGGGATTGGAACCGGTTAATGTTAACCGGTTAATTAACCGGTTAAGACGGTTAACCGGTTAAAGGATTTTGAAAATCGGTTAACCGGTTAAAACTATATTTATCATAATCCTAGTCAGATTTATATAATGCGGCCCAGAGATATGTAAATTGCGGCCACGTGTTCCTAAACTTGAAGTTTTAATGCCGAATTTTTTTCTATTTATTTATATTAATTTTAGTGATATATAGTCTTCCTATAACTAAATATGCAAGTAAAATCAAAAATTGGTACAATTTGCAGTAAAAAAAGTTTTTAAAATATTTTTTATATTAACCGGTTATTAACCGGTTAAGACCCTTGGTTAACCGGTTTTTAACCGGTTAAGGTTTTTTTGGACGGTTCCAATCCCTATTCTTATGAAACGAAAATTCTAATTATTTATTAATGTAAATTTAAATAATAGTGCTTACCTGTAAGATTTATTAAAAAAATTAATAAAATCATTCATTATAAAGAAGATTCGGTTTTTTTTGTCTAACCAACTTACCAACATTTTCCAATAACCCTAATCCTACGTGAACTCTAATCCTACACTAATTCTACGCCCTGATTCTTCCTATAAAAAAATTCCGGAAAAAACTCCGATAAATTATCATTTTTCTAGTTTTTATTCCGAAGAAACTCAGACACGTGATCATTTTTCTGAAAATTTTTTATAGGGTCTAATCTCTTATCCCACGCCTAACTCTAATTCAACTTAACTAATTCTTAATCAGCATTAAAAATCCTTTAGTTGATTATTGAAAAGTTACGAAAATGAAAAACATTTAGAACAAAACAAATATAAGACCGGGAATATGTTAGGTTAAATCGCAGTGTCCTGTGCATGCTAGTACATAGAATCATATGTATAGTTTCTCACATAAGATCGAATGAAACTTAGGATGAGTGGTAATTTATAATAATGTTGCCCGTTCTTTTCTTATTCGCTAATCATATGACGTTTAATACTTCAAATACGGTCATTCAAAGAAAGTATATGCATAAATTTTAACCATATATATACTTCATATATACGATTTGTATATGACATGAACAAATATTTGATGTGCATAGGTTTAAATCGCATAACTGAGGCTTAGCAAAGTTTTATTCTTTTTATAATATTACTATTAACGTTTTTTGGGAAATTTCTTTGTTTCTTTACACTAACAAATTGGTTATTCTTCGGGTGACTATTTAATGAGTCGGACTACATTGGAATTTGAACGAAGTACATCAAAAAGTAAATTATTATCAAGAGACATACAACGTGCTTATATGCGCATAAAATGTTTGTTTTTGAAAATCCAAATATTTTCAAACTTAATTTTATAGATTTTGTTAAAAAAGGCAATTTGACATTTTTATTATAAAATTACGTAGATATAAAAAAATTATTATGACTAGATAATGGATCTAGTTTACAGTATATAAACATAATAAACATAATAAATAGTTAAAATCACAGCAAACAAGAATTTAAAATTCAATTGATCAAATCGAAAAAAAAATTTATATTGAACTGCATAAATTATAAACTAAATATACATAGATGTATTTCAATCGAGAACATATATATATTATATCTAGAAGCTCCTTTAACAATGCAGTTTAGTTTTCTCATACAAATTTTTGAATGCTCTAACAGCCTAACTGTTATCACTTTTTTAACCCGTTTTTGGCAAGACTTCTAGTCGTTACCCGGAACATATTTTATTATGGTAAAAATGTTTTCAGGATTTGGATACATTTATAAGAGGTCAAGATGGTTATTCTAGATAAGGAAAAAATATACTAAGCACAATATTTGTTTTTCGGTTCTTTTTCCATTTAAGTAAAGCCACTACCCGGTGGTATAAAATTTATGCAGCTAAAATATCTTCAATTGTAACAATCAATCTAAGGTACACAAGTGGTACACAATGTACAAAAATAGATTGGTTTTGATAAATGCGTTCGGGATTATTTATTTCGGATTAACAACAGCTAACGAAATATACACCATATTCCTTAGAAATATGATGAAAATCCGGTTATCAATAAAAAAGTGATTTCTTCGTAATGTAGTAATGTAGTTATATTTTGCTCATTAACAGATTACAGTTCACCCTTTATACTACAACGAATTTTTGTATAGTGAATAACTTGCTATAATAAAGAAAAGCTCCAATACAGATTTTTTTATAATCAATAATTTTTGATATAGTGAATTTTTATATTAAAATCTTTGTACTTTGTAATTCGAATTTAAATGTCCGAACAAAATGACCTAGCTATAGTGAAGATTTTCACTATAGCGAATTTTTTAAGGAGTTACACAGATCATTAATAAATTTTTATCACATGATACTTATACGCAAAATTTTTACAATGTTAAAAATTCATATTTTAATGAGTTAGACTTTTATGATTACAAAGAAGAATGTCAGGTTTTTTGCTATATCAATTGGTCCTACTATTTTTTAGTCAATAAAAAATAAGAAAATATATGATTTTAATCTCCAGCCCGAGGGATTCACTATAGCGAGGGTGAACTGTATATTTTCATTTGTTGATGGTAGGTGTAAACCGTAAATCGTGTTGTAACATGGCAATTATATTCTCCGTGGATCAGAGGATCAATCATTTGAGTCCTGATCGACAATATGGGGCTCAAAGTCTCGAACATGGTAATCTCAAGAAGTGACCAGACTACTATAATCGATCACCTTATGGAAGGACAAATAATAAAAATTGAATTTTAGTACAGAATTTAAATAGTGATCGGATAATGAAATCTTTAACGAATATATAAATAGAAAATATCATACCTAATTAATTTTTCCATTTTCGTTTCGTATTTTTTTTTGATAACACTAGAATATCGATACTTTGATGTAATATATACTGCAGCTCAATAAATGTTTAACAACGACAAGTCACGGTCATTTTATTTCATGATTTGTAATCAAAGCATAAAAGGAGACGAAAAATAGAGCTAATATATGTTTTTACAAAAGAATTTCTCGGATCCAAATGGGAAACTAAAAATTCACAAAAAAAACTAACTTCGAAATCACGAAGTGAAATATGCATACTTGTGGGAATGTTTCTTAATTGTAATCGAATAATTTGAAATTAAATGCAGTAAAGAACTATTAAAGTAATTTTCATGTCGTGTAAAATGCAATCAGTAAATCGTACCTGTCAGTAAATCGTACTGACCAGAGTATCGTATCATTTAAATGAGTATAAAAGAATTTTGATAGTAATAAGAAACGTTTTAATGGATAAGAGAAATTTTATTTTTAGTATTCTTATTTTTCCATGTGACAAAGTTGACCCTGTAAAAAAAGTCGATCCTTTTTTTTTCTTTCTTTTTTTTTAAGAAATAGGAGGCGGTAATTCGATAAATTTCGTTATATTAGGTTATTAATTCCGAAGATAAAAATAAATAATAATAAAGACAAAATGAATAAAATAAGATAGAATAAAAAAGAGAATGAATATATTTTTTTTAAAAAAAAACGCTAATACTCCTTTTATTGGGATGTGCGAATTTTTTTGTCAATTATAGACTGATTTAAACGAACAAAGCGAGTCAAGCCATGACATAGCTCTGGCAGAGAATCATTGAAAATCTAGGTTTGAAATTATATATAACTTTACCATGGCCACGAAAATTTTGTTTTTACAGAATCGTCATCATAAAATAACAAAACGTAGTATCATAAATCTAGCACCGCTAACTTAACTAGTCAGTTAAACCACGCACTTACGCTTAGAAAAAGAAGCAGAGATTAAAACTTTAAACTTTCAAATTGAAGCATTAAAGCATTCAACTTCCGTTTCTACTACAACTACCCAAACTATTGCTCCTCCAGATCTATCAACCAACTGAAAGAGTTATTAGACCACCAATATGAAATTTCAAAGCTTTTACCTCCTTACTGTCATTTTCATGTGTTTCTATATAATGGACATTAAAGGTAAAGTTCTTAAATTCAGTATGTTCTCCATTCTCTTTTCTAATAATTCGACTTTTTGGTTTAATGTATAGCATATACTTCCGACACAAATTTGGATTTGACTCTTTGCAGTTGTAGAATTTGGGCAGAGGATTCAAATGGTAAACGCATATCTGGTGGCAAAGGCTACCATGATTGTAGTTACAATTCCTATGGCTCGAATTTTCATAGAATCCTTAGTTTCCCTAATCAAACGTACACGGTTTATGCTAAAGTTTTAGCTAGTTTCGAGGAAACGAAAAAACGAGGACCTTTTACTGGAGATACCTGTTTTCATATACATGGCGATGTTGACAATTGGAAATTTGACCAAGTAACTTGTTAATCGTTTATTTGGCTATTAAGTATGTTGAAGATGTGAACCAATTAAATCTGTTTCTAATTCCTATTATATATTTCTATTTAATATATATTTATTATATATTTCTATTTATTATTTAACACACTTAACAATGGTTTTGAGAGATTTTTTTCGTCAAAAGTAGAATTTTCATAGTTATCTTGATATGATGAAATTTCGTTATTTTTTTTTTTTTGAGTTTATGAAATGATTTAAAAAATAAATAAATTAAAAACCAATTCATTTATCTATCTATATAACTAGATATTAAAATACGGCCAAGCGAATTTATTTCTATCATTGACGTAAATTAATCTAGTTATTTATTAAAATAAAATAAACTAAAATAAGTTATCGCAAATGGTGTGTGGATAAGTTTATTTGTGATAGGTATATTCGATACCAATATTCGTTTGGTTTTCATCCATATTTTGTCCGGTATTTGTCCGGTATTCGGGTCTTTTTTTCTTATTCAAATATAACTGCGTACAACATTTTGAAAATGGCGATAAATAAAATAAAGTAAATAATTTTTATTTATAATTTAGAAAAGCAGATTCACATTTTATATTCATTCGATGCTCAATAATAATAATCTTAACATATATTACGGATTGATTTTCTCATAATATTTAATAGTAATCATATTATTATTGTGACTTTAACTTTATAAAGCTTAACATTTAAAAGAGAATCATCTCGACCATTCTTACTTGAATCGCGCTAAAAACTTCGAAAACGGAAAATTATTGTGGTACATACGCTGATAAAAAAATTAAAATCTTTTAATATATGTGGCACACATAATGTGAAAAGTTAATTGCTAGCTATCATTGTCTAATCTCTACGCATACTATTTAAACTTTTAGAATCATGCTCAAAATTATGGTTTAAACTTTTTTTTCCTGTTTTGGTGAATTTTATATTTCAATTTTTTTTTTTTTTCTTTTTGAAAGTGCGGTAGAAGTTTCAATAGCCCTGTTCAAAATCGTTCGGTTGCATTTTTTGATCAGTCAGGAATAAAGCAATCTTATTGGTAGAAAAAGTTCGATCCAAAAAACCTAAAAAAATATTGGTCTAAAAGATCGGTCGCGCAAACAAATGCAAGCAGATTCGGCCAATCAAACTAATTAAACCACAACCGACCAAAAAATGCGACCGAACGATTTTGAACAGGGCTAATACTTCTTTCTTTCAAACTTTTTTAAGAAACTTCTTTAACAAAAAGTTTCCATTAGTTTCTTTTATGTGATTTATTTAAATTTGTATATCAAAAATCATATACATATGGGTCGCATTCATTTCACCGACAATCATTTCACCGACAAATGAATTTAGGATTACAGTAAAGTTAGGGCTAGGATTGGGATTAGGCTAGTATTAGGTTAGGGTAAGTGGATTAGGATTTCAAAACTGTCGGTATATATATATAAATATGTGAAATGATCCTGTCTGTGAAATGATTGTCGAGATAATTGTTGGTGAAATGATTGTCGGTGAAACAGAGATTAATTGTCGGTAATTGATTATCGTTGAAATGATCCTGTCCGTGAAATGATTGTCGGTAAACAGGGTGAGGGATCATTTGTTTATTTACTTTATTTTATTCTCCGTGAAAATCATATTTTATATATATCCTATCACATGATTTTGCGATTATGTAAATTTTTAATTCTATAAATTTTATTAATTTTGCCAATTTTTACCCTAATTTCCTCATTTATACTTTTACCTAACCCATAAACCAAATATCCTGATTCCTGCCCCTAACCCTAATGCAATAATAACGTCACGCACTGGTCCTAACCCTAATGCAATAATAGCACCACGAACTGACCCTTGATAATAACACCATGCATGATCTTAACCTTAATATCGTACAATAATAATATCACGTACTCTCTCATATTAATATCATTCTCTAAGATAATTTACTGTACTCTACATTCTTTTCAGGAATCCAAAGCTTCTTCCTGGATATTTTCATTTCAAGTTCATTGGCAATATCACTGGGTTCATTATCATTTTCGTCATATATGATATGGGTATCGTTCATCTAGATAAATATATTAATAAAATTTATTTAAACAACTTAGATTAAAAAGTTTTAAAGGAAAAAACAGCTTACATTAAAATGGTTTAAAGTAAAAGAATATGCACGCGGGATTCAATTTAAATGGATAGATAATCAAAAAGTAAAAAAAGCTTAATACATTCATATTTCATATTAACAAAAAAAAATTTTTTAGCGTATTGCTTTCGATTTAGAAAATGTGGCATTTTTTTTTTAAAAAAAAGAAAACTTTAAACTTCATTCGCCTCAAAGGGAAAAAAAAAATAGAACTAAGCAAGAAAAATTACAATTTTTTTTTTCTAAAATAAAAAAAATAAAATAAAATAAAATAAAAATCTTTATCTTCATCATCAATAAATCCTATACAAACATTTCTAATTTTTAAAAAAAGGAATGTATATTTTAAATTATGTGAAGAATTCTATGAAAGAAACTATTACTATAATAAAAAACACACGGACGTACAGTGAGTACATTTAAAAAAGGTTATTTGTTATATAATAATGAAAAAAAATTTTTAATTATAAACTCAATCTTCAAAAGAAAAGAATAAGTGATTAATTTAAACTTCAAAGAAAGAAAAAAAAAGGAAAAAAATTGTTTATCTCTTTATAAGACGCAAGTATTGATAGAAGAAAAATGTGATAATAACATAAATTGGAAATTTTACAAAAAAATATTACCTCACAAAATTTTATCGCACCCTTAAATAAAAAAAAAGTGTGTTCTACTCGTTATTCCTCTGAAAATAACACTAACAAAAATATACAGTATTATGCAATGGAGCTAATTTATTAACGTTGTACAGTGTTTTAATATAACAGATAATTTGATGTATTGAGAAGGGATAAAAAATATTAAAATATCCAAATATTACAGAAATCTGAAAATTCCTTTAGACATAATAAGGGCAATGACATATATTAGCTAATATTTTAGGGGTGGGGGAGTAAAAGAAAATCTTAGGTTACTCATAATATAAACCATGTGAAATGGTTGTGATTGGTCATAAAATCTTACCTGGGGGTGGGGGAGTAAACGTTACTATTAAAATAATATTAGCTAACTGCCCTAAATGAGTCATTTTTATTCTAAAAAAAATATATAGATAAAATATTCAACATGTACTCCCATATTTCCTAGCAAACGGGATATGCCATAATTCTCATATACCAATTATCAAACGTTCTTCATTGAAACCATCTTGATTTCTTGATCTATATCCTTCGTATAAATTATAGTATGCATATGCTTAATTCCAGGAAACATTTCTCCAGCAAGTTGAGTATGTCCTTTGTTAATCCTTTACAAATAATATATAGTACGGTATAGACTTATAGTTTTACAAGTTCTTTGGGAAAATCAGACTCCTTTTCTTCTTTCTTACGGCGAAGTGTGATTTTTTTTGTCCACGAACGGCTAAACCTTCAGATACGGACTTTCTTATTTTATCACATAAATGTCGATCATTTTGTCGATTTTATCACAATCACATTAACGTCAAACGCTAATTTAAAAATTCTGTTCAAATTTTGCTAATTTTTGGTTTTGAATATTAAATTTATCAAAAGCAAATTATTATTATATAACTTTCGTAAATAAGTAATCCTTTAGTTTAATATAATTACAATTTATGCGATTTATTAACACTTGATCATATTTTGAACCTTTGCAAATTAGCGAATAATGTTTCGATTTATTTATAGTAATATTTCGATTCATTTATTTTAAAATTTTAAATAAAATAGAAGTCTTTTAATATGGTTACTATTTTATTTAGTTATATTATTTTATAAATAAAATTACTATTATCATATACTCGTGCAGTGCGACTTCAGTTTGTTCGATTGTAATTAAAGTACATGATGATAGTAAGTTAATTTCAAGTGACGTGACGAACATTTTTATAATACATGCATTAAACAATTATGAAACAAATACTAATTTAAAAAAATGCATAAAATGTTTTAAATTAAACTGAAATCAACAAATAAATTCATACATATGTTCTGTAAAAAATAATAATTAGTAAATAATTAATCAATCAAATCCAAATTCCATTACTGACATAACCTTAATGCTTCTTCTAATTTTTTGTCTATATCTTCTTCCATAGAAATTATCTCATCAACATTATTTTCCTGCGAATCTTCCTGAATCCTGATCTTCTAAGTCTTCACCATCTTCTTCATCAACATTATCATCAAAATGATCAAATGCTTTGCTTAATGTATTTTAAAACACCTTGCATTGACACTTAACACCATCATGAAGATATTTATAGTAGTGTGGACATGTTTGGTTTACATTGAAACAAGACGTTTTGCATGATCATCATGATCACATGATAAAATATTAGTTATCTGACATCGTACAGAACTGTAAAAATTCTCTACATAATAATCATTAACGATATGCTTAAGCATTTCAGCAATTGGATAAAAGACGTCACTAAGAAATGACAATGAGAATTTGTTGTAATTTATCGATAAAAAATAGACCATATACGCAACATTGCTTCTTCAGATGCTTCCCAACATCCACTACAAAAATTATTGAATAGAAATCCAAAACCAATGGAACTGTATTGTCCAAAAGGTCAATAAACATACGTGCCGCAAGATCTTTATAATTATTAAAAAGACCTTGAATAGATTCTTTAATTAAAGCCACCACCTAAATGCAAGATCCAGATTATTCTTCATTAATCATACAATGTACAATATCGCATTCAAGTTGAATAATTATATTGCTAGAATCAACACTTTTGGATTTTAAACTATAAGATGATCGTTAATATTAAATAGAATTGCAGAGACTTGAGTAGATGCTTTCATAAGTATTGTAATAAAATGATATCGTATAGTATATATATTATGATAATCGTCAATATTAAAGACAATTAAAAAATTTTTTTAATATATCTAATAATATATAAACAGTATACGAAAAAAAACATTGTTTACTACAACGTAAAATTTTCTATATATTTATAAAATATATACAAAAATTACATTTTCAATAATATAATCTTTGACAGTTCTTTCATGTGATCTAGCTAATTGATGCTCTGGTCTTTGAATAGTTTCCCTTCTAATTGTAAGTCCAGCATTTGCTAAAATTTCTATTGCTGACGCAGAAGTCCCTGATGCACTCAATAAAAATCCTACTTCTGTTTTTACACCATTAATAAATTTGTTATTAATACTGGCCAAAAAGTGACACATCGCAACAAGTTTTTTTCTATTTGTTTGATTAGTTATAGGACTTTTCTTCTCAGGATTTGTGCTAGCAACAAGTTCATCAAAAAATCCTTGCAATTTTGGCTCCTCTTCTTCCAGAATTTTTTTGAATTCGTCAGGATCATAAATTGGCTTTTCTTCATCTTTGCGTTGTTTCTTATACAAAACATTAGACATCAAATGAATTTTTTCACTAAAAGATACAATAGAAGCTAAAATAAAATAAATTTCATTAAAATATAAAATAAAATAAGGTCATTTGTTGTTATTATTGAAAAAACAAACAAAATCAAACAAAATGTAAAAAATTCATTACATACTTAATTTAGTTAGATCAAGTTCTTCACATACTTCATTATATGCAGTCTCTAATTCCTTAAATTCTTTGAGTGAATACAAAAGATCATTACGGAAAATATATGAATATTCAGGGTTTGTATTTGAATTTGAGATCTTTCGAATTGGTGGTCGATAATTAAGAGATTGTTGAATTTCTTCATCACGATCTATATTATTAAGACACGGATTACAAATAAGAGAATCGGGAGAGAGATTTAAAATAGGTAAAAGTCGCCGTGGAATTTTTCTAAGAAAATTTTTTCGTGGTCTTCCTCTTTTACTATTTTTTGTGTCCTCATGTTTTGGATAAGCACATCGTTGTGCTTTCATTAAGCGATGTTTTTCATTCACTATTAGCTTGTTATAGTGACGACGGCATAATTCTTTCCCAACCAAATTCATATCAAGATTAGTCTCTGGAATCTTGACTCTATCTGTAACAAGAACTGTACCATTGGTAACGTCATCACAAACAGAAGCTGTAATACTTCTCAACGAACATTTGCTAGTTTTAGACATTTCTATGTATTTTTAAATGTTAATTAATGTTAAATAATATATAAAAAAAAACAAAAATTTTAATAAAATATACATTTAAATACCTTTGAATTAATTTCTTAAAATCTAAACTTTCAGTCAAATAAGTTTCTGTATTAAAAATGAATAAAGCAATATTAAAATCACTATATTTTGTTTTTCTACTAAGAATTTTGGTATACTTATAACTTCTAAATTATTAAATTATTTTGCGAACCGTTTAACAACAATCTGAAAAGTAAATAATGTGGCTAAAATACTGTGATACGGCTAAATTAAAGTCATTTCAAAACTAGCCAATAAAATGCGTAATTCAAAGTTATCAAAATATAAATGATCGACAAAATGATCGACATTGTGATACAGTATAATAAGGATTATATATTTAATTACTACAACTACAATGCAGTTGTGACTACGAGTACATGATATCACGTACTCTCTCGTAGTCATAGATATCACGTAGTCATAGACTCATGTAAGCACAATACTGCAAAGCGACTACATTATACAGTACAAACAGTAAATTTTACAATTACATAAATTTATTTTTACCTACAAAAATGTCACGAAAAATCATGTGACCGTTTTTGTCACATACGCCACACCCTTCCTTGTTTCCATTTTTCATAAGTATCTGAGGGACTTGAATTTTTTCGAGGTGTGAAATCCTATTTGTCACACATTATTTGTCACATAGTTTAATTTCTTAATCTCTTAATGCCGGCCATTTCGTGACATTTTTGTAGGGTACGCTGGGTAGTCTATGATTACATAGCTACGTAAGTACGTGATAGGTAATGTAGTCGATTATATTTTTGTGCTCACGTAGTCATGTAGTCATGTAAAAAAATTATGATTACGTAGTTAGGTAGTACGTAATGGTAAAGTAGTTACATGTACTCGTAATCAGAAGCACGTTGTAGTTGTAGTAAAAAGCTAATAACCGTATAATAAGTCAGCTATCTGCTATGCATGTCCAGCAAAGTAAATGCTCTCTATTTTTTGTTGTTAAGGAGTTAAGCAAAATTTATTTTTAATGCGTGCATATATGCATTTTAATAAAATGACGAATTGTTATAAGAGATAGAAATACTGTATTTGCATTATGATAGAAAGGATCAATCATGAGTGTAAACAAGGATTTGAAATTACTTCAACAACTAAAGATTTTAATTCGACGGATGACATAGGATGGACTATTTGAAAATTTGGATAACAAGAGCACGTAAAGTAGTTTAAGGTCATAACAGATAATTGTGCTCTATATATAATAACAAACAATTCGGAAAAGGAAAACAAATGTTTACTATGTTGTGCAAATATGTGCGTGATCTTATTATTATGCACAATAATATAGTTCCTTCGTTACACTTTGGACTAATTATTGTATAAAAAATAAATTCGTTATTCCTAAATAGTGAACATAATAGATGCGGTAATATGTATCACCAAATAGGAAACGCCATATGCATGCAATTAAATACATCATAGTCTCCGAATTCTCTTAGATCGGTAAATTTTGACACAATTAATCGAATTAATAATTATTTATTTGACACCACTAGAAAATAATTTTGTTGTTCGATGTATTTTGGAATATAATTTTGCCCATCCTTATTTTTTACCTAAAAAATTGATCGGCCAAGGTTACCGATCAAAATATGGGCATGATCTTCAATTTTTTTCCGAAAGTTTTATAGTACTAGAACAGTGCAGTTCAGTTCGGTTCAATTCAGAACAGTACAAGTGTCCGGGGGGAAAAATTGCAATTTAGAATTTCCTGTGGCACTATCATGTTACATTAAATTTAGCCATCATCTTATAATATTTAATTCTTTTTACTTTATTGTAAAAACTATAAAAATACATAAATATAAATATTTCCCACATAATAGTAACTGATAAATAATTTAACAAATAAAAATTAAATAACAACAGAATTATTAATTTTAAATCATAAGTTCCAAATATTCAGATTTATTATCTGAAATATCAGTACATATTAAATATTCAGACCTATCACTATCTATAATTTCAGAAAGTTTGCGACTTTTATAACATGCTTGTGGATGAGATTGTATAATAGAAGTATGCGCTTGTTTTTGTACTAAAGCTTCATTTGCATTTATAAATTCCAACATATCATCTTCTAATTGACTATCAATATCAAGTACTTCAAAGTTAGAATTTTCATCCCTGTTTAAATTATAATGTTTATTAATACATCTAATCCATTCAGATATAATATTTTCAAGCATTATTATAGTTGGTCTATTGGAAGGATTTGAATCCCAACATCTTTTCATTAAATCTATATAACATTTTGGAGTATTTTCTATAATTTCAGGACGTTCTCCTTCACAAATACTTAAAACAAGATTATGATCATGTGCTTCATATTTAAATGGAGGAATACCTGATGTAAATTCCCACATTATCATTGAAAAACTATAAATATCACTTGCTTGAGTATAGGGATTATTTCTTAATATTTCAGGCGCCATGTAAGGCAAAACTCCATAAATTTCATTAATTCCATTATCATCATTTATAGGTTTACATAATCCTAAATCAATAATAAATATCTCATTGGAATTATCTGACATCAAAATATTTTTATCATGAAAATCACCATGAGTTAAACCTGATTCATGAATTACTTTTAATCCTAATATAATATTTTTTAATAATTGTAACTTATCTTGCCACTTAAATTTATTTATATCAGATAAACATTTTCTCAAACTTCCTTTTTTTGCATAACTCATTACAATTATATAATTTAAACTAACTGGATCTTGGGTAAATCCAAAGATTTGTGTAAGTTTTGAAAATGATTTTTTCTGACAATTATAATGATATTTCCACTATATAATAATAAAAAATTATTAATTTTTTGCAACTGAAAAATACAAAAATAAACAACTATTTATATACCTCATCCAGAAATTTATTGTCTAAACTTGATGAATTATTAAGAATTTTAAGAATGATTTCATAATCTGCTTGCCTATTCCATTGTTGTTTGTCAAAATTCCAACTATAAATAGGTCCATCTGACCAGATAGCCTTGTGAATTTCACTAAATCCTCCTTTATCATAATAATTAATATTTGATAATTTATTATATGGTATCCACTCTAAAATTTCATAACTATTTCTGGCTTTTAGTTGTGCTTCTTCAATGAATTTATTAATAAATTCATTTTTACAAGTCCACTTTGAAAAATCTTGTTGCAATCGTTTAATATTACATTGTTGACACCACTGGTAATCATCATCAATATATGGTTGTTTACATTCATTACATAATTCAACTTCAATTTCAGAACTTAGTATTTTATTACTTTCTTTTGCTTTTTGATACCAATAAAAGGCTTTTTCTAAATTTTTTTCTGTTCCTTTTCCATCTTCATAAAGTACACTTAAACTAAACATTGCTTCTTTATAACCACTTTCTGCTGCTTTTTGATACCAATAAAAGGCTTTTTCTAAATTTTTTTCTTCTGTTCTTATTTCATCTTCATAATATATTGCTAAGTTAAACATTGCTTCTACATGATCATTTACTGCTGCTTTTTGATACCAATAAAAAGCTTTTTCTAAATTTATTTCTGTCCCTTCTCCACTTTCATAGTAATTATAAGCTAAATTAAACATTGCTTCTACATGACCATCTTCTGCTGCTTTTTGATCCCAATAAAATGCTTTTTCTAAATTCTTTTCTGTTCCTATTCCTTTGTTATAAAAATCAGCTAAAATAGCCATTGCTTCTCTATAGCCATTTTCTGCTGCTTTTTGGTACCAATAAAAGGCTTTTTCCAAACTCTTTTCTGTTCCTTCTCTATTTTCATAATTATAAGCTAAATTAAACATTGCTTCTTTATCACCATTTTCTGCTGCTTTTTGATACCAATAAAAGGCTTTTTCTAAATTCTTTTTTGTTCCTTTTCCACTTTCATAACATAAGGCTAAATTAAACATTGAAATTACATCACCATTTTCTGCTGCTTTTTGATACCAATAAAAGGCATTTTCTAAATTCTTTTCTGTTCCTTCTCCATTATCATAATATATGGCTACATTATACATTGCAACTACATCACCATTTTCTGCTGCTTTTTGATACCAATACAAGGCTTTTTCTAAATTTTTTTCTGTTCCTTCTCCATTATCATAACACATGGCTAAACTTATTATTGCTTCTATATCACCATATTCCGCTAATTTTTGATACCAATAAAAGGCTTCTTCTAAATTCTTTTCTGTCCCTTCTCCATTCTCATAACATTTGGCTAAATTAAACATAGCATCTTCATGCCCATTTTGTGCTGCTTTTTGATACCAGTAAAAGGCTTTTTCTAAATTCTTTTCTGCCCCTTCTCCATTATCATAGCATTTGGCTAATTTAAACATTGCTTCTTTAAAATTATTTTCTGCTGCTTTATGATACCAATGAAAGGCTTTTTCTAAATTGTTTTCTGTTCCTTCTTCATTGTGATAACATGTAGCTAAATTAAACATTGCTTTTTCATCACCATTTTCTGCTAATTTTGCTAAAGAATTAATACATTCTTTACACCATACTTTTTCAGTAAAAGGTTTATTGCAATATGAACAATTTTTAGTATTTACTGTATCAGTATCTTTGTTTAAAATACTTAGTTCACTAAATTCAGTTTCCATTTTGTTATTTTAGAAATTTATTTCACTGAAAAAATTTTTATTTTACTTTGTTTTATTGATCTTTTATAATAAATTCAGCAAGTTTACTAAAGGGGAATAAATTATTAAGTTCATCAGGAGATTAAATTATGTGTAAATTTAATAATATTTGTGATACCTGCAAATTTACACAAATTTACGATCTACGCCACGGCCCCTGAATACGAAGATATCATTAAGATAACTGTTTCGTACACTTTGGAATAATTCCTCTAAGTAACATAAGTGTAACCATGTACAATTGATACTTGTAAACATACATCAATTATCCCGACGAGGTTCCAATCATCATATTCAGGGGCTTAAAAAATTGTGTACGCATTTGTACGTGTGTATGATAGTATGATATCGCATCCAACTGAATACATTTATTTTTTATAATAATAAACTTTATTACAAATAAAAAGATATATTGATAACCGCAGCACAGCCGCAGTTCTGATCTTTTAAATTTTTTTTTTTTTTTACTTTTTAAACTTTTTCAACTTTCTTTCATCTCTTCCTTGTATTTTTTTCTTTTTTTTTCGTATTTTATTATTATTTAATAACTAGAGAAGGTTGATATGTGGCGACTGCGTCGCCACCAGTTATGATTTTTACCTACACAATAATTAATTTATAGAAAGTAAATCATATATATTCAAGCACAAATAAAAAAAAATTCACAGAATTATCCTTTATTTATATACCGTAATTTATTTCAAACGAGTTTTGCTCTCATTTTTTTTTAAAAAAAATCGATATTGTTAGACGAGCTCCGAACCAATTAGATCTGTAGAAAAAGACAATCGACAGTGTGGTATGAGTAATAAATTAGTGACCAAATTATCACTAGAGTAAAAAACAGACAATAGCCTTTTCCTATTCGGTAATCTGTCGTACTCTCTGAAATATAGTGTTACAATTTTTTTTATATTTTTTAAAATAAAGTGCCCCACCCGGTTAAACGATCATCAAAGTATACTCTTTTTTGGTTGTGATCTACACGAAAAATTTGCCTGCGAATTTAATATCTTAGATTTTAGATTATAGATTTAGTAATAAGATAAGAGTATAACACCCACTCTCCCTTCTTATAAATCATGGGCTATATATATTTTTTTCTTCATTTTTTTTTTTCATTCAAAAAAAAAAAAAAAAAAAAACATATTATGCAATATTTACAAAAAAAAAATCAAAAAAATTTTTTTTTTTTTGCAACTTTTATTTGGCTGTTCCAATTTCCATAACAGATAAAGGTATCAGATGATGTGGCTATAATACAAATATTACATTAATCAAAAATATAAATTATTTCCAAATATGTAAATTTTTATTTATTATCAATATAAAAAAGGACAAATTTGGATGATGTGGCTTAAATAATTACATATTACATAAATTACTCGTACTTCTAAAAAAAATTCCCGAAATAGGTTTTTTTCCAGCGATCAAACTCCTTTATTAAAAAAATAAATCAAAAACTTTATTTTAATTAATGTAAGAAGTTTTTTTATTAAATTATTCTTTTTTTTTAATTTTCTCATGTCAAATTATGTAACTTACAATTTTTCTTCAATTAAAACCGATTATCACCAAATCAAAATCAATTTGTTGAGCTCTATTACATGTCTATTTTTACAGGAAACTCGGCTGATCAGACCAGTCAATTATGGTTTGTATGCCGAATGATAATCTTTTTTTTTTACTACTTTCTTTAGACGGATTTTTCCCTTGGTTCTTTCAACTTTGATTCAGCATTGCTGGTTCTTTTGTTCCAAAATTTTTCAATAAAAAAATTCAGTCATTTTAATTTTAATTTAAATAAATCCTTTTAGTAAACAATAAATTTTATTAGTTAAAACTTAAAAGTAATTATTTTCATACATCATTTTTTTAATTATTAATTTATATTTTATTTTGAAAAAAAAAATACTAGTTTTTTTTTATTCATTTAAAAACTTCAATTGATTTTTTAATTTTCACATTAATACATTTTCGTTTTTGTTTAAAAGAATTTTCATGTACATGTTCTTTCAATATTTATAAAGACTGCATAATTATCATCTCTCCTCATTTTACATGAACTGAACGAATAATTACAGCAGCAATTGATGATAAAAAGTAACCATGATGATACTATTTAGAAATAAAATTTATTCGTTAATGTATCATTTCAAATTTATATATTCTATTGTTTTCATCATTTTTTTTTTTTAAAAAAATTTCATTAAAAATCATTTAGTTATTAAATTTTTTTAAGTTGCATTTACGCTACAATCGTTGCATGTGGTGTTACAAATCCGCCATCCGAAGATAGTGCGGATAGTCATACGAATATCCGTTAGTACTATAATCTGAGGATAAAATCTGAGGATCATTTCCCCCCCCCCGCAGGTTGGACGTTATATTATTATACGTTCACAAACTGTCAGTTTTAGGTAATATGAACGTCCAGATTTACATTAAAAATATACCGTATAAGTTATAAGACTATATGAATAATAAATTTTTGTCAAAATTCCACGTTAAAAAATCTGATTAGCCGTTTGAAATATTTAAAAATTTTAAAAATTTTATTAAATAATGGTGAAGATATTCTTGGTTTATTACTTATCAAAGAAAAATTCAACTATGTTCAAGATTATTTCCATGTTCAAGATTATTTAATCGAAAAACAAAAGAAGACCTAAAATAAAGAGAAGACCTATCAGGTGCAAATATTCTTGTTCCAAAGAAAAAATCAAGAATAAGAAGACCTAATTAAAGAAAAAAACTGAAGGTATTGGAGACATATTTATATTATTTATGTTATATACTCATCATACACATTATATTCAACTTATGACAATATCTTCCCCAGTAACACCATCAAAAAAAGCTCGGGCATGTGATTTTTGAGCATGTGATTTTGTTACATACGGCGCAGTTTGTGGCAACTGATCTATTTAAATATTTATCGCGTATTATTTAAGCTATAATTTAAGCTTTCTTTTCACGTCTACATTACCAAATACCAAGAATACAAATTTTTTTTAAAATAAAAAGTTGGCTTATTTTCTTTACAATAGATACAAATCTTTTAAAACAAAACTCGCAGAAAATATGAAACCTGTAGAAATACCAAGTAAGCAATAATACCAGACAGCCTAATTAATGCTACCTTCTCTTCTAAAAGAGCAAAACTAGTCTGTATTATAAAATAGCAAGGAAGTCATATAGTCCTATTAATAAATTAGGTAAAGACGTTGAACATTATCAAAATAAGTGAACCATGTCATTAACATGGAAGGGGCATACTGATAGCACTCATTATTTACAATAATTTATTTTAAATTTAATAACCGGCGATCTGCAATTAGTGCAATATATCCAGAGCTAACGAATTATTTTCTTCTCAATTCCCATCCCACCTCAACACATGGACATTTCCACACCATATTTTCTATAATGATATTAATAAAAATATAGAAATCATTTACTTTATAATTAGTAGTCTGTTTGGAAATTTTGACGACATATAACTGTTATAACGGTATTGTCTGATTAATGAATGACGGTTAATGAACACAATTTTGATCAGTGATAGTCATTGGACTGCCTGATGAATAGCATCACTTATGGTTACAGTATTAAATACCGCAAACTTTGTTATACAGTATAATAAATGAATTTTTTTTAATAAATTTCAGAGTAACGTGATGGACATTTTGACTTCACGTGGATTGTTACTTTAAAATAATTTTTTCTTAAATTGTAGAAAGTGATTTATTTGTATTAAAATGAAAGAAAAAAGATGGAATAAAACCTAATGAATATTACAAAAATAATTACTCCACATGATTTTATAGCTTAAAAAAATATATATATAATATATATATAACGTTAATCTTAGTATTCTTTCGAAAGTAACATTATAAAATACATGATAAAATAATTTTTTTATACAGTATTATACAATGGAGCTATATACTGTATTTTATTTGAATTAAAAAATAAGCAGAGAAACTATATTTGAATAACAGAACGAATCGATAATCATATTCAGAAGAAGTTGGATCCATTAAAAATTTGGTTCGCAAATGGATCGTTTACGTTTTGTCTTGGTAATTGCCTAATAAGATTCATTAGTGCATAAGTATTGCCATGTCTTAATTGTCGACGATTTCTTCGTTTACTAAGAATACGATTAACATATGACGATGGGTTGACCATAGGAGTATGCTCAGCAGAATCCATGTCTTTCCTTTGATACAGAGAATTAATGGAATAGTAGAAGTTGATGACGAATATTAAAAAGAAAAATAATACACCAAAAAATTTTTAACTTACCATCTTAAAGTCATTGGTAAAACAAGTTCGTTTCCATTTCCTACATAACTAACTGATAAAGTAGGTTTTCCTTCCTGTTGTTTGAGTTGGATGCTAATGTTTTCAATGTTTACTCCAGTATCAACATTGTTACTTCTTTCTGCAGCTTTTTGAGATAGTTTGGAATGCGATGAACTTTTTCTGAGTTTCTTTTGTCCTTCTTGTTCGCGTTCTTCACGTAATTCCTCTTTACGGATATAAAGTTGTTCGCATACCTCTTTATAAGAGGAGATAACATCAGTATTGGTCCAGTTATGATTTTGACTGGGATAATTAACGGATTGGGTGGTAGAATAAATGGTTGATAGTTGTTCCATTTTTTTTTTCAAAATATGTTAAAAAGAAAGATTCGAATTCAAAGTGAGAGATGAATTAAAAAACTTTGCGATTTCTTTTTCTTTTTTGCAAATATATAAATTATATATCACATAAAAGAAAGGACCATTGTAAGGAATTTTTAAAAATTTTGAAAAGAAGTATTAAAACTTCTACCGTACTTTCAATAAAAATGAGAGAATAATTTAAAAAAAATTCGACAAACAAGGAAAAGGAAAAAAAAAAAAATTTTTTTCGTTGTTAAAAAAAATATTTGGGTTAAATCGTCTAGTGTATTTATGTAAAAAAAAAAATTCTTTTTTCCTAATTATTCATATTTTCTCATTTTTTAAATGCGGGGACTATGAAAAGAACGACTCAATTCTTTGACTTTTTTTTTAATTCAGTTGTTCTATTATTAGAAAGTTTCAATCAATTGAGTAAAAGTATTTTTTGTTTTTTTGAGTTATATAAAGGAAGAACATAGCGTCATAGCCGAATTTCCTAGTATTTAGGTATCGGACTTTGTGGAAGTTAAAACCAAATTATTGAACTTAGTTTTTTTTTTTTTTAAAAAAAACAAAGTTATAAAAATATATTCTATTTTTAATTTATTGTCCAATTGCAATTCAAAAATAAAAAAATGATTGATTCTCTTAAAGAGGAAATGGCAGTGTATGGTGTCATCTTATCGTAATTTTTTTTATCCAATCTTCTTTCTTTCCAATCATTAAAAGGAAAAGATCGGTTAAGTAATGACGTAACCGCAGATATTTGTTTTGTCGATCAACCATTCTTTGTTTATATTCCGGACTTTACGGAAATTAAAATTTCGGCCTACACAGTAAGAAAAAAATATCAATTTGACGTATTTAATTCACTATTAGGAAAAAAAAATTTTCTATCCAAAAAATCATGATTATAGATAAAAATATTAAAGTGTAACGAAAAATAAAATAGTAATTAATAAAAACCTTTTTTACATAACTTATAAATTTTACATAATAATTTTCTAATTAATCTAAGACATTTTAGAAATGAGCAATTTTTTATTTAAAACATAATTATTGTTTTTTCTTGATGTGGTTATTGTATTCAGATCAAACGTTTTGAATCAAAAAATCCGACAATAGATAAATGTAACGCAAACGTAGATATAAATAATTTTTTTACTATTATTGTATACAAAATAAGAATTATTTTTACATATGATACCTTTAAAAGCCACCCCCTGAAAAAAAGTTGCATCATAATGTATGATGTTTGTGCAACATTTTGGTTACGTTGATGTCATATACTGCATGTAGAATGTTTGTACATCATTCAACGTGTTAATCATATCATATCATTAAATTATCCGAGAGAATTTTTGTAACAAATTGTTGATTATATCCTAATGCATTTTAGGCTAAAATTTTGACAATTGGGATTTTTAGTATCCTTCATAAATAAACCGCTCAGTTTATAAAATCGACCAATAAAAATATAGACATGTGATAATCTCGCACAAATCACAATTAAAGATTATATACGTTTTAGCAAAATAGATTATCCATGTCCTAATAATGTAAAAAAGTTACAATGCTAAATTTTAAGCCGTGTAGTAATTCGGTTGTAGTTTAATATAGCTAAACATATGACGTTAAATAAATTATTAAGTTTAATACCGCATGAACATGCTCAGATGCATTTTATTATATAAATTCGTTATTAATTGTAAGAAAATCTGTTCTGCAATACACGGTTTGGTATAACAAATTTCGGTATAAACAAGTTCGTTATATCCAGAGTTAAGACCTTCTTTGCATCACTGAAGAAAAGCCACGTAATATTAAGATTGGGTATACCCAGAACCTGGCACAACTTGAAAGCGCATACCAAAAGAAATGAACTGCGGATCAAGCATTTGACAACGATTATTTTGACTACCTTTATCTGTTATGGTATCGTGATCACGGATATGGAGTAGTTGACTGTAAATGAAAGAAAAAAGGAAAGCTTTATAAAAATTTTTGGTTCGTTCAATTATTTATTGTTTTCAGCTCAAGTTGAGTTTTATTATTAATATGAAACTAACTTGCTTAACGTGAGTCAACTGCAAAAATTCATATATGATTTCGGTGTAAATTAATGTCGATCATTTAGTAATCTTTTTTTGATACCCTGTTTTCACTCCTTAAGTAATGCTCTTTATGTAAACCCATTTAAATGACATATTTTAATACATAATATTTATCCCAATTCCCAAAGTTTCAAATAATTTGTTTTTTAAATAAATTTCTCACATAATTTTTTACTTTTATTTGACGCCACGCCAGATTCCCATTTTCTGCAGATCCTTTGCGGATCACGAATTAAATTTAAAGCATTTTTATTTCAACATTATCTTCCATAAATATATACCCATTTTTTACCATAAATCATCGTTTGCTGAATAAAATTTAATGTAAAAATATTGTCCTAGAATCGTTATTTTAGTCAGAACTAGAAAAAAAAAAATTTTTTGACGTATTTAGAAGCTGTACAAATTTTATTAATACCATTAATACCATTGTCAAGTTTTCATATTAATTATATGTTATTGCACGGGCGTGCTTGTTAATGGTATGATGTGGCACTTCGTGCTACATCATTCCATTTATCAAGCACAATGCCAGAATTAGTGCTTCGATCCGGATAAAAACCGTTATCCGGATAAAATAATTATTTTATCCGAATGAAAATAGTTATTAAAATAAAATTCGGGTTAGAACTGTTTATTTTTAAATTTCAGTACTATGATCACATTCGTAGCATTAAGAGCTTTCAAACAAGCTATGAATCATAGAGTTCTGATCATTAGTTCCCGAAATACTTTAAATTATCCAAAACTTACAATCCGGATAAAACACGGATTTAACCGCGGATAATCGGTTTTATCCGGATAAAATCCGGATAAACCGGACTCGGATCGAAGAATGATAATGATCATCATTTGATTAGTTTTTAATTATACTTTTCATAAGCTTTATATTAGATCTAATATCAAATTCAGTTTTTAATATCAACTAATTAATTTTAACACTATGTAATATAGAATCATGTGTCAATAAATTTAGTGTAAAATTTTTATACGCAATTATAATAAATTCAAACATTATATTATAAGCATGATGTGCTAAATATCTGTACGACATGTACGATGGTCCTAATAGGGCAGTATATCAATGATTAATAATGACTAGTTGTGAAACAGTCTTTACTTTTTATAGCGTTCATGTTTGGAGGATTGCGGTAAGACCGCTGTACAAATAATAATATCCAAAAAAAAAAATGCTTTTAGATATCACCTTTTGCATCAATGCTAGTAGGTACACAAAAAAAAAAAATATAATATTCGATCGAAGTACAAAAATCTTTAAACATAACCAGCAAGTTGCACAGAAAAAAACCGAAAGTTGAAAATTTGGGGATGTTTTCATTATTATTTAAATTTATTTTGTTGTTATTATTGTTAAAGATTATTGGGCGCCCTTTTTTAATCCAATTAGATTTAAGAATTTTTTTGGGGGAGAAAGTATTGGGTAACAACGGGTTCGGTATATATCGTTGCTTACGTTATGGGTCCATTATTAACTAAGCATAAATAGAAAATAAGGGCATGGCCTTATCTGTAACATTCTCTTTATTTTTCTTTTTTCTTTTTTTTCTTTGTGGGATTTGTGGGATGATCTCTTTATCATACATCTCTCTCGCTTTTGTGTTGCACGCTTCCCAAAATTTGTAACGTAATTATGAAAAAAGGCAAGGATGAATGAAATTCTGTCCATTATTTTTAACAATAATATCATTTATTTCTTTTATAAAACCATAAATAATAAGAAAAATAACAATAACGTAAACTAAAAATATAATTACATAAAAACAAAAAATTTTATTGCACCCTTAAAAAAAACGAATTGAACGTAAATGTGAGTACGACTTTGTATTCCTCCAAAAATTTCATAAATACATGAAAATAATTTTTTTTATTTTTTTTATATAGTATAGTATCATATAAAATAATTTTTAAATATGGAAAATGAAGTGTGACGATATTGACAGATTTTGCACGTTTAACTGATTACGAAATTAGAATAACGATTTCGAGCGAATTACTTTAAATTATTTAAACATAAGCGAAGAGACGATATTTGAATAATAGAATGGAATCAGAAGGGAATCAGAAGAAATTGGATCCATTAAAAATTTGGTTCGCAAATGGATCGTTTGTGTTTTGTCTTGATAATTGCCTGATAGGATTCAATAATGTATAATTATTGACATGTCTTAGCTGTCGGTGATTTCTACGTTTACGAAGGATACGATTGACATAAGCCGATGGGCTGATAACTTTTCTTTGATACAAAGAACTAGTAGAGGTAATAGAAAATGTCAAAAATTAAAACTGAATCTTAGTAGTTAAGAAGGTTAATTAATAACCAATTAACTTTTTGCCGTGTGTTTCACTCTCCACATCCCCATTTCTACATACAGATAACCCAAAAAATAGAGTGAAGCGAAAAAAAATATTTTTTTTCCTTTCCTTTCTTAGAACTTACCATTTTAAAGTCTTTGGAGTGTTTCCTTTTCTAACACAAGTAATTTTTCCAATATTTATTATCATAGCAACATTGTTATTTCTTCCACGTTGAGATTGCTGAGATAGTTGTTTGGAATGCAGAGAACTTTTACTGAGTTTCTCTTGTCCCTTTTGTTCGCGTTCTTCACGTAATTTCTTTTCACAAGGTTGTTTGCATACCTCTTTATAATTAGAAGAAATAACATTAGTGTTTGCCCATTTTTGAGTTTGGCCGGGGTAGTTAAAAATTTGGATTGCAGAGTAAGTGACTGATTGCTGTTCCATTTTTTTTTAATTTTTTTAAAAAAAGAATTATATTTCTGTATAAGAAATTTTTCAAATTTTCGCTTTTAATAAAAATTTGTTTTTTTTTTTATAAAAAAAAAATAATAATGAGAAGTTTTTTTAAGTGTATCTTGTTTGTTGTTTGTTTTTCTCGAAATACTAAAAAAATATTCGAATATATATATTTTTTCTTCAAAATGAGAACTTTTTCGATAGAGGTCTTTGAAAAATTTGAAAAAAGTATTATAAAACTTCTATTGTATTTTTTAAAAAAAAATTCATAAGACAAAAGGAAAAAAATTTTGTTAAAAAAAACTACTGTATATAGATTATGTATTTATATTAAAAATTTTTTTTATTCAACTTTATTAAACATGTATCATCAAATTTCACTATTTTATTTTTCTATCTGATTTTTCCTTTTGCTTATAATTCATAAAATTATAAAAAAGGTTAATATTGGCAGCGGCAACCACCGGGAATCGGACATTCAAGGGCTGGTAAAAAAATAAATAAATAAAATTTTTTACGACGTAATAATGTGAAGTAAATTTTTTTCGCGTCTAATCATTACTTTGGATGATTATTAGAATCATTTTATTATTTTTTTTTAAAAAAAAGACATGAACGAAAAGATGTTTATAAATTAACAAATTTACCGCCAAAAAAAAAAAAAAGGTTTATTCTTTTTTTCGCGTCTCAAAAAGAAAAAAAAAAATTATTATCTGAGAAATTCGGAAATTCAAGGAAAAATCCTGGCGTTATCCTTCCTAGACGTGTAAACAAAACTAAACTTACATTTTTCACGAAGTATCGTAATTAAACGAAACAAAAACACCACTTTTGTCGCACCATTTGGCTGGCTACACAACAACGTTACATTTTATATCTACCCAAAAAACTTAATACTGTTATGAGGAATAAAAAAAAAGAAATATTTTTGGTTATCGTTCAGCCCAATAGGATCATGCATGATTATATATAATTGATATAATAACAGATAAAGTAAAAATGATTGTGTAAATGAAAATTTTTATAGGAAAAGTTTAAAAAAGCTTATAAAGCGGAAATGCATGATCAAAATGCTATATAATTAGGCCGTTTTGAGTTGATAAATATTGGCTGACGGAAATGTGTTACCCGATCAATGATTCGATTTTTGCGTTCTACAAAAAAGTGGAATTTCTTGGTCGTATTGATCGCAATTTAAAATAAGCAAAAACGAAAAAAACGAACATGTTAATTGGAAAATTTTGCGATCAGTGATTAATTATAATTTGATCATATGCTTGGATTGGCATCAATCTTCCCCAAGATTTTTCACACCACGTGACCTGCATAAAATGTTACCCCGTTCATAAATATTATCATCATTATCACCTTATCGGTCACAAGGCCCTTAGGACCCTGATGAAAATGGTGAAAATGGTCACTACTTTCATCCAATCATTCGGTCCTGTGTGTCCGTGACCGACATAGTTTCTACTTTCTACCCTAAATATTTATTGTTATTTTTCTATAAACAGGTAATCAATCGAATGCGTGTTACATACTAATTCCTAATTTGTCTTTTCGCTTTAGAAAGGTTTCACAATATTACTAAACATTATTTTAAACATTTATTGATGATTCGTATTACAAAATCAATTTTCACAATATTTTTATATCCTTATTTGTATATGAATAATAATAAATAATAATAAATAGCCAGTGTCTGCTACAACTATGATAAATAGGGTCAAAATGAAAAAAGAAGAAATTAGTGTAAAAAAAAAATTAGAGTCAAAAAAGGTAATTTGTCGATCGAAGGACTCTTTTGAAACGATTAAAAATTAAAATTGTATTGAGCCCAGTTATTTGATTGTTCCCTTTTGAGATATCGGTTGATATGATCGTTCAAAAACTGAGAGAAGAGATGGCCGAATATGATGATAATATGGACTTTTTGAAATAGTATGTCTCAGAATTGGAAAGAGATTAAAAAATTCTTACGTAAAGATCCAACTTACCAAGAGAAAAATGCAAATAATGGTTTAAGAAATAATATAAATGAAATTAAATATGAAAGTAAATTGTTTAAAAAAAATTAGTCTGACAAAATAAATTAATGAATACAATTTAGGCAAATTCCATAATTAAATTTCGGATGCTGTGAAAATGGGCACATGTCGAGAGCTTAACTCTATAGTTATATTCGGAGAACACAATGACGTAATTTGTAAGAAGTGATGTTTCAATATGACATCAGTTGTAAGTGAAGGATTTGAACATTTAAACATTTTATCATCGAAGAACAATGTACTGCGGCGAAAATCTGTGACAAATGATAAATGTAAATTACCTGCTTTTAATCTTGACCGAAGATTATAAAGTTAAGCAAAACATACCATAAATATAGCTAAAGCAAGAGGTAAGTAAAAGTGCGACTAATGTAAAAATTTTGTTATTTTTTTCGTATGCATATTTAGATTATTTTCTTCAATAAAAAACTAGTAAAATTGTAAGGAAAAAATGGTCGAAAGAGAGAGAAATAACCGTAGTAACCGAACGTTCAAAAGAAGATTGAGGAATAGGAAAAAACAATTTATTTTTTTTTTTTGTCAACGCCAAGAGGAAGTTTTTTATTTATTTATGAGAGCAGATATCATTATTAAATTTAAACTATAACAGTTTATAAATTATGCAGGATATATGGCATATAATCAGTGCGCCCGCCATTTTTTAATTTGTAATCTTAAATGCGCGGGAATTTTAAATTAACATCAGTGTTTAGGAAATTTTGTCACATGTGTTACGCCCTTTATATTATCACCTTTTAATTAAAAATCCATTTACCTTTTTCGACCATTTCTCGATTATCGATCTCCTGGACGGCGAATAAATTTAATGTAACACGGGTTCTATTTTTTTCATGAGCACAGATTTTGATGCGAAACTGGCGTAAGGACGAGAAAACAAAAAATTAATTGATAGTTAGGATAAGGGTTAGGATAAGGCTAGGGTAAGAGGATTAGGAGCAAATGATCGGCAAGGCGATATAATGGATAACGCATGTCACACAAAATATCTTCGTCATGAACAAAAATTCGTTATAATAAGTTATTTTATATATATTTTACACTGGTATACTGCATTTTACTAGTAATCTTCGGTATAACAAGAATTTTTTTATATGATAAAATTGATAAAATTGATACAGCACCAAACAAAATTCGTAGTGGACTAGAATTAATAAACTACCTAATTAAGGGGATCAATCGGATATTGATTTCCGATAGTGCATATTGCATACCTAATGAATATAAATCGGTAATGATCGGCATTATACCTGATACAACCTAACTAACATGATCGAAATGAGATAAGGTTTTGTAATTAACTCACCAAAGTGTACAGCCTTCAGGGCTGGTTTTGAATATTTGTATTATTGTTTTAAATTTACCTGATAAAAAAAAAAAAAGTATTTCATACATTTAAAAATCCTTCTATTCACTCTCCTTCTTTTATCGAGCGTCTTTATATATATATATATACACATACAGTATATATATATTTTTTCTCAAACAAAATGATTTTTTTAAACAATTCATTGATATATATTATTACGTTTGGTGCTTTGCTTCAATTGTTAGTTGAAGTAAAGTCTCAAATAACTAAACCGGATTTACGTCTCGCTCATACTGCTACATTAATTGATGATAAATTATATATATTAGGCGGAGAAATCCCTCCTCGTAATAGCGGGAACCAACCAAAAGAAACGTTTTTTTATTTCGATGTCTCTACTCCTTTTAGCACTAATGAAGTAAAATATACTGACCTCTCAAACAGCAATGTCGTTCCATCGCATCGATATTCTATAGCTATTAAAGGTGGTGCAAACAATAGTACGTTATTCTTATATGGCGGTACAACTTTTGGCAATCAAACAATGGAATTAGTTTATGCGTTTGATGCCCAACATAGCGCATGGTATGTTCCAAAACCAGCTGGTGACCCTCCTGTCGGAAAGGATTTTATGTTTCCTATAATTGATGATAATGGGTTATTATATATGTTTGGTGGAAATAGTCCCGTAGGTTATGTGAATGATATGTTTATCTTGGATACAATATATTTTAACTGGAATAAATCCAGCGCAATTAATCCACCTAGGAGAAGAGATGGTTATAGTGCCGTATTCTTGCCAAACAAAACTATTGTCTATTTAGGTATGTAATATGAATATATGATTTTAAAAAAGATTACGAATTTTTTCATAATTCATGATATTATTATTATAACTAGGTGGGTTTGGTCCGAGTGGTCCGAATGGGTCTGGTCCGATTAGCTGGTTACCATTAGATGAGGTAATTATTATAGAATCAAATAAATAAATTAAGCAATAACTCATGATTTTGATATTATTTTAAGGTATACTTATATGATACAATCAACAGTTCATGGGAGGCAAAGGTAGTGATTGGTTTTTTATTATTAATTTAGTTTAATAGCGTGTAACCTTCTTGTTTTATGTTAGAAAGTTGATGGAACGATACCCGCACCAAGAGCTGCATTTTCAGCGGTTCTTGGTAAATATTTCAAATAATATAATAATAGTATATTATATATTTAATTTATATTTAATTTAATCTACAATCAACAGGACCGGATGCACAAAGGGTGATTATTTTTGGAGGGGACACTAATTCTACGTCAAAGAACGTTCTGTACTCTGAAAATGCACTTTATGTTTTAAATTTAAATACTATTAAATGGCATTCTCCGCCAACCTCTGGAAAACCTCCATCAAGCCGTGCTTTTCATAGATCATTAACAATTGGAAAATATATGGTTGTGACTTTTGGTAAATATAATAATTATTTAGTATTTTAATATTTTATAAATTATTTGAATTTACTAAAGTATATTTGATATTAAAGGGTATGGATACACACGAGAATCTGAGAATGATATATTATTACTTGATATCAGTAATAACGATGAATATGTTTGGACAACAAAATTTGAACCTCAATCATTAATTTCTACTCCCCAACTACCTACTCCTCAATCATTATCACATTCTAATATTAATACAACCGGCATAGCTATAGGAACTTTAATAGGTATAATTTGTGGTATTGCATTGACAATCGGAAGTTTCTTTTTATACAAACAGTATAAAAATCGAAGTGAAGTAATGCCAACCCCTGGAGATGAAATAACTAATAAATACCCCGAAGAAACTCTGAAAGAAAGATCTGCAGTGGTTGAAAAAAAATCTTGGAATAATTTTTTCCAATAAAATTCTAGCCGGTAAACCTTTGCGTGATTTTTTTACATACGTGTAATTTCGCAAATCCACACCCTTTTTAAACTCCTATATACCACATTCTTAAAATAGTTAGTGTATTAAAATAAAATATAAAGGAATATTTAACGATTAAAATTCCGTTAACGTCGTATGATTTTTTTTGTTGGAATCTCGTACAACTCCTTTATGATGATAACAAATTACCCACAAATGATAAATTAGATGGCGTATTGGGTACACCCTGTACTAATCAAAATTCATAATTAAATTCCTTTCCATAAAGGGAACAATAATAAATTATAGGTACATTTTTGTTCATTGCATATTTTTCTAATTTTTTAATTGCTGCGGAAAAATGTTACCGCAAATCTTGTACTTCATGTGCGCAGTTGCCAAGAAATAAGGCGATGGATATGATAGTGGATATAGTTTAGTGCTCCGCACGAGCCAGTCCCAGCTCGAGCCGAGCTTTGATACAGCTCGTTCGAGCTGGCTCGCGAGCTATGAGCTGGCTCGCAAGCTCTAGAACTTTTTTTCTTTATTATTATTATTATTTATTTATTTATTTATCTATTTTTTATTTATTTATTTGTTAAGCATTACGCAAATAAAATATAGGATTAACTTTATTTTATTGTTTATCTGTTATATTAAAATATTTATTTTTTAAAAAAAATATCAATAAATTTATCGCAGCGCCTGTGTCACGTGATTTTAATTTTGGCCAGAATTAAGTGATCGACGTGTAAATTTCCTTTTGGAATCGTGTGTAACGCATTTCCAACAAAATTGCCTTTTATGATTATGTCACGTTACTCAATTGTTCAAAAAAGGAATTTTCTATGTCAATTACTTAATTCCAGCCAAAATTTAAAAAATGCAAATAAAATATAGAATTTGCGAAAAGCTCGAGCCAAGCCACCTTAAAACTCGGCTCGGCTCGGCTCAAGCCGGCTCGTACGGAGTTTTAATATAGTTTGATTATGTGATCTCGATCCTGAATTAAAAATGCTAAGCCCTGAAACTCGATTAGTTTTATAAGGTAACTGATCCATATCAATATCAACAGGATGTTCGTTCGACTTTAAAATGGTAAGTTTTAAGAAAGAGGAAAAAAAATATTTTTTTTTCCTTTTCGCAGATATATTTTTTTTTATTGTCAAAGTCTTTGGAGTGTTTCCTTTTCTAATACAAGTAATTTTTCCAATATTTATTATCGTAGCAACATTATAATTTCTTCTACGTTGAAATTGCTATGATTGTTGGGCAACTTCTTGAAATAGTTGTTTGGAATGTGGAGAGCTTTTACTGAGTTTCTCTTGTCCCTTTTGTTCGTGTTCTTCATGTAATTTCTCTTGACAAATATAAGGTTATTTGCATACATCGTTATGAGAGGAAATGATAGTATCGAGGTAGTTAACAGATTGTAATTGATCGGTTGCTCCTTTTTTTTTAAAAAAAAAGGAATTATATTTTGTACAAAGAAATTTTTAATAAAAATCTCGTTAAATAAAAATTTTTTTTTTTTAATTTTTTTCGTGAATCGAATTATTTTAAAACTTCTCTACCGTACTTTCAAATAATGAAAAAGAAATTTTTCTAAAAAAAAAATCGTTAAATCAGAAAAAAAACATATTTTTTTTGCTGTTAAAAAATTATTATTTTTTTTTCGATAAAAATTCTCATATATACTGTATGTTGTGCGTCAGATGCCTCCGGCCTACATTATCGGCCCAATATTGCCCAATATTATAATGCCTTAAGTGGGTTGGCCAGCATTACTAGGCCAGACTCACATCAGCTGTCAAATCGGCATCTGACGCACAACATATATATTTAAATATATCACATAAAAAGGAATTAATTAGAAAATTTTTGAAGATGAGAAGTAGTATTTAAACTTTTGTGAATTTAACGCTTTTCATATATTTCATCCGTCCGTCCGTTATTGAATAATAAGTTTCACAGCATGATGCATATAATGAATCTTGACACATCGCATATGGCACAACTCAGAAACCACCAGGGGAAATAAGGGAAATTTTCAAATAAACGACATATTTAAAAAGAAAAAAAAATTTTTTTTCAAGACATTTTTAAATACGCGAAAAAAAAATAGTAAATAAACTTATTCTATTCTTGATTATTAATAACCACGTGCAAAAATTAAATCTGAATGTGATAAAATGGCAAAATATCACCGGGCTTTTCACATAAAAATATCTTATTAGCAAGACCTAAAATAAGATATCCGGTATCACGTGATTTTTTATAATTAAAAATGGTTATAATAAATCGTGTATCAGGCAAAATTCGTGTATCAGGCAAAAAAATTCGTGTATCAGGCAATATCAAATCACGGGATACCGGATAAATCACTTATTCGGCACTTCGAACCGAATAACTAACGCTACCTAAAGGTAGCTTGTTATATTGGGAATCAAGTTTGATCAGTTGATCTCGGGCTCCTGCGGAGCCCGGATCAACCAATCAAACTTGATTTACCCAATATAACAGTTATTCGGCACTTCGTGCCGAATAACTATTAAATATTATTAAGACCTATTGAAAATTAATTTAATTTAATCTTAATAATATTAATTTAATCTTTATAATATATACTAGGAAACGGAAACCGTTGTAAGTCTGGAACAAAAAATTTTATACTACCTCGTAAGTGATATTATCGGGTTTACATTTCATAAACATACAGTATATAGTCCTCCGCTTTCGCTTCCGGACAATAAAAAATTATGATATACAGTAATATAGATATAATTTAATTAATTTAATTGATTGATTGATTATTATTAACAGTTATTATTATGTATGACAAACTGCGTCTCAATGAATATTTAATAAAAAAAAAAATACACTTGTTCAATTACTATATAAAGTATAAACTATTTTTTTTTTAAAAAAAAAAAAAAATTAGTTTGATACTTTGTGATGATTTTAAATTTTTTTTTAGATATCCCCCATTTTGTATTATTTAATTGGTAATATTATTACACAGAATGAACAAAGACAAGGAATTCGCGCATGAATGAAATTCTGCCTATTATCTTTAACAATTGACAAAGTAATATGATAACGCTTTAATAGAATTTTTATGAAATTTGATTTTAGGGGCGAATTTTTCTTTATTAACTATAATAGCAAGTGATTACTTCCCTGTAAAAAATCTGATCCGTGTTTTATCTTTCCATGTTTTTTCCGTGAATGTATCATTTTAATGGAATTTATAGCCTTAAATCATGGAAATTTTCATCTCGCTAACACGGATATCCGTGAATGTATCATTTTCACGGAATTTTTACGGAAGACACGGAGAAATAATGGAAATATTCGGATAAAAATTTTTTATAGGGCTTAAATTTTAAAAGAAAGGGAAAAAAAAAACTTTGATTTTTATAAAATCAAGTATATAATAAGAACAATAGATAACGTAAACTAAAAATAGTACACCCTTAAAAAACGAATAGGGCATATATGTATGTGTACTGTATGTACATTTGTATGCTGATGACGTTGTGCCTTGTGTCAATAGTATAAATACTTGTATATATAAATATAAATACTTATACAGTATCCGCATAAAAATGAAAGTGTAGCATAAAATAATAATAATAATGTTTCGGTATATGTGTGTATATATATATATTGTATGTACTATTGTTATTTATGATAACAAACTGCGGCAAATGAAGATAAATGGGGATTTTCCTTGTTTTCTATTTATGCTCAATTAATAACGTAAGCAGATTAGAGGCTATGCTACATTCATTCACACGATTACTAAATAATTAACCAAATTCCCACTGACTCAGAATTCTTAAATCTAATTGGATTAAAAAATAAACCTAGAATTTTCTAATAATAACCTTTGACAACAAAAATGATAATAAAAATATCCCTAAATTTCACCTTTTACTTTCCCAGCAGAAGTTTTAGAATACTAGGAAAGAACAAAGTAGAATAGAATAAAATAAAATAAATTAAAATAGATAAAATAAAATAAAGATAAGAAAAAGAAGAAAGGTTGTTTGTAATTTTGTTTATTAAAGTTTTTCGTATTTTGATCGAACATTATCAAATATTTTTTGTACCAAAATGTAGTACTAGTGTTAACGTAAAATATTTTTTTTTTTGGTAAGATATAATGGACATTGTTTGTGTAGCGGTCTGTGCCTCTCATTTTAACTTTCGAATGCAGAGTTGACGCCTTGACGGAGAAATTCCTGAATGACTGAACACTAATATTGTTCTATTTATTAACTACACATAAAATATATATTTTAAATTTCTCTTTGAAAGACATATTTAGTATATTAGCAAAGGGGACCTGCATAATTATTATGATAAACAATCAAGCAAGGCAGGCTAATTTAAATATGCTGTTACCATTTTATAAACTGGTGATTATGATGACCGTACCTTATCATGCATTTTTTTTTGCAGATTTTAAAATTGTTAAAAGATAAAAAGTGCATATTTTTTTTATTTATTTTATGATATAGACATAGACTGGGGGAAACCCCTGTTAGTTATTACCATTACAAATGGTAAGCTAAAATATACATAACGTTATAAAACCCAATCCCCTTAGCGGAGTCGTCCTGCCTGTTATTAAAAATTTAGAGGCGTGACCTAAATTCTAAACTATATCGTATTAAAACTGAAATGGTAAAAAGTGCATATAAAGTGATATTTGAAACCTAAGATATAGCAGCACGAGATCATCGTTGTATTCCACTCTCACGTGACTTTCACTATTTCTCTCCTCTCCACTTTTTTCACGTTAAAATAAAAATCCTTCAAACAATAAAATAAATTAAATATTTTTGAAAAGTTTAAGTGTAGAATATTGTTATAAAGCTAGTATGATTAATTTTTATTTACAATAAACGCGCTTTTTTATAGATTTTGTAATATTAATTTGGATGTTTTAGCTAAATGAAACAAGGGTTTGAGCGCTTGAAGAAAGTTATTTAACAAGCATGTATATTATTTTTGTGAAAATATTGCCGTTTTTAAAAAAAATTATTGAGTCGCATTTGTTTGTTGTAGTGTAATGTCAGGACTTTAGCTAAATGTAATTGGTTTAGGTAGCTTAGACAAAGTTGTTTAGCAGATATGAAACCACTCAAATATTAAATTTTTATTAAATATCTTGAGAACTTAAGGCACAGTAAGGCGTAGTTCTAGACACACAAAAGCACAAAGTATGAATATTTTGTATGGAAATTATTGTGCCGTGCGCGGTTGATTTTTTCACTTTACAGCGTAATTTTGGTACTTTTGTTAAATGAAACAAGCCTTTGGAGATTAAGTAAAGTTGTTAGCAGGTGTGGGATTACTTAGTTATTAAATTATCTGTAATATTTATGGGATAATTAGCATTTTTTAAAATAGTATAAATATCAATAATATTATATTATTCTAAAAGTAAGAATATAAATGATTTATTTATTAAAATTAAATTTAATAAAGTGAAATGGGTTTATTTTCAAGTGTATTTATTGTAAAAGTAATAAAATGATTAATATGTTAAAGGAAAATATCAGTTTTTCTTTTTTTTCGACTTTTTCAATTTTTCATGTCCGAACACCACAAAATCACGTGGGTGAAATTTTTTTGGGGTAAATTTGTCAATCAAATTATGGTTTAAAAAAATTTTTTTTATACGATACACATTAAAAAGGTGTTCTATATAGTATAAGACTAATTTTAACCCAGGGTGGGTGATTTAACCTATTAGTAAATTTTATATAATTATATAATTTTGCCCAAATTTTCAAAAAAAAAATGTAAATTATGATTATGAGAGACATTGTCAAAAATGTAAAGAAAACTTGGTCATCATGCTCTATAATATCCAAACAAATAAAAATCTATATAAAGTGAAATGAATAATAACACAAATAATTGTTTAAAAAAAAAAAAAAATATTATAAATTTTAGGGGGTGCTTTAACCCAGGTTATTTTTAACCCAGGGGCAAGTTAGCAAAATCTTATATAATGATAAAAAATTTTTTTTTTTTTTGTATGATACATTAAAAAATTTTTATGTAAATTATATAATATCAATATATATAATAATGATAAAAACAATTAATAATAATAATAATAATATATGAAGTATATTGTTATTTTCACTTTATCTTTATTACCTAATTTATACAAGGGATTAACAAGTAGATCACCACTGGTTTTTTTTAAGGGCGTGATAAAATTTTGGGAAGTTAATAAATATTCCTTTGTATATTTTAATTTAAGTTATTGTTATTATCACCTTTTTTTATACACAAAATTAGTGTGACCTTTTTCCTTTTTAAATCTTTTTAAATGTAACGTTTTTAACTGCGGTTAATATTTATTTGAACTTGAAAGACTTCGAAGTACTATAATAATCATAATATATCATTTCCCGGTTTTTTTTTTATTTTTCTAATAACTTCTTTCACGGAATTCTTCACGTAAAATATACATAAACTTTATTAAAAATAAAAACATTTGCACAAGGAACATTTATTTAAAAAAAAAAAAAAAAAAAATTAAAATTTTTTTTTTTCATCATAATAAATATTCGAATTATGGGCATACTTCTTAATTTACTTGGCTTTGTTGAAAGATCCTTTTATATTATATTGTGATACTTAAAGTATGTCATTGCATAATGTGTGCTCAGTATTAAAGTCAATACTAAAAACCCACGCTCAATGAATACAAAATAATAAATTATTTTATTATCCATTTTATTTTAGAGAATAGAAAAAGGATTCACTTATAAAAAATGAAAGAATATTTTACCCAATATCACATTAAAAAAAAAAATAAAATAAAAAACGTTAAAAATGAATAATAGTAAGTAAAGTTTTATTAACATATGAAAATTAACCATTATGGAATGGATGTAAACAAATACAGTTAAGTAACCCGTTTCGTTAATTACCGGTTACCCCCTTACAAGTATTTTTATAGTAATTCATAAAATATACTAAAATATACTGTAACAATATAATGTTAATATACAATATAATAAATAATATATAAAGAATACAATTAATATGAAATATACAATAATAATATATAAAAAAATATAATATTAATAATGAATTAAATAAATATCCGTTATAAAACTTTAAAAAAAAAAATTTTTTTTTTTTCCTCACCCAAAATATTCCATATAGAAAGAAATCTTTTAAAATAAATAAAATAAATAAATCTGTAAAAAAATTTATTTTGTATTCACTTATTAACTTGTTTTGTTGTTTTGTGGAAAATCATTAAACCCTGCTTAAAAGTGCTAACCCTGTTAAAGTAATAAACCGTATTTAACCCTTTTTGTAAACAATTTTTTATATACTCGGTTAAAAAGTAATTGAAAAAGAAATTCCTTTTTGTAACCAATTTTTTATATACTCGGGTTCAAGTCATTTTGCAAGTTTGTTAACGAAAAGGGGAAAAAAGATTTTTTTTTTTTTTTTTTTTTCTGCTTTTTTTTTCTTTCCTTAATTTTTTTCTTTAGTAAAAGTATATATTTTTATTTATACTTTTACTATTTTTATTAGTTCTTCTCTAATAATAAAGTTTCTATATCAAAGAAAAGATATATAGTTAGATACTATATATTATCGAAACAATATAACATATACAGTACATTTTAAATGGATCAACAAGATCACCGTAAATCCGATACTCAAACAGCAGAATGTTGTGAAATTTTAGATACATCTAACACACTCAATAATTTCGAAGAGAATAATCGACTTGATGTTTCAGCTAAATCTCACAAATCACATTATATTCGTGCTCGTAGGAGTAGACGAGAATTGAGGCATAAACCGTATGCATTAAATCCAACACAATACCCAACACAAATTTCGAATAATTTACTTACGTGTCAAATTTTCAATGGATCGACCTTCTGATTAATTCCCTTTCGTTTCTATAACTCGAATTTCGTTATCAATTAAATAGAATACAAAATCTGAAAATCTGATTATGACAAACGTATAAAACGAACAACAAATTTACGATATTTATTTTAATAACTTACAATCGATACATAATAAATTTTCCTGCGCAATGATCATCAATAAACTTCAATGGCGGCTAATTTTTGAATTTTTGAAAGAGATTGGCAAAAATATTTGGCAAAAGATTAAATAAAAAAAAAAAATCTGTGTTCTTTTCCGTATTACCCCTTTTTATTATAAATTAAATATAAATAATTCGTTATATAGAACGTTTTTTATCTTCTATTAATAGACTATTGTCGTTAATGTTTGATTGTTTTAAACCATAGTTTTTGAGCAAAAAAAAATTGGCAAAAGATTAAATAATAAAAAAAAAAAATCAAAACCGAGTTCTTTTTCATATTACCTCTTTTTATTATAAGTTAATAATTCATTATATGGAATAACGTTTTTTCGTTTTTTTTTT